GCGATTCATGATCTCCACCAGCTTCTTGTCGGTGGGAAAGTTCTTAAAACATTTAGCGGCATTGCGCACCTCGGTGCGATGATTGTTATCCAAATTCGCCTGCAGGCAATAGATCAAGTCGCGCTGATCTTTGGTCAAGTTGATGGCACGCGCCACACACAGCAGACGTATTATCACGGAATTGGCCACATCCGGCTCGTTGGGACCCCACGATTTGAACATATCGCAGTCGGTCTTATGCTGTTTCTTTTTGGCGCACAGACTGCAGATGGGCAGGCCGCAGCCCTGGCGGCACATGAAGCGCGTATCGGGCAGCATTTTCAGGCAGATGCTGCACGCATTCAGCGTGTCCTCCTCTTGGGCGGCCAGGCCAATTAGTAGTGGACTGTCCTGAAAGATGATCTCGCCGCGCTTCAGTTGACGCGTGGCCATAACGCCACGGCCGGCTATCTTTGATACGCCGACCTCCCAGGCTGGATCCTTGTCCTTGAACGGCGCCAGATGCAGATCCAGCAGCTCCGAGGTGCGTTTCGGGCAAATCATAGTCAATGTCAAACACTTCAAAACCAGCTATAAATCAAACGATCTCACGAGCGTCACCAAACAAAAATTAAAAAAGAATTCAACAGAACTTTATTTATTTAATTATTTTTTTTTGTTTTTAACTTTTTGCTCAGTCCAAATTCGCAAGCTTTTTAGATATCAAAAAATTCAAATACTCGATTTTGTTCTCGATTTTGATCACTTGGCGCGTATTTCACGGCTGCCGTTCACAAACTGTCGCCGTTTTCCAGCCTTACATGATTTTTATGTGAAAAGTCGGAAAATGTTTCGCGCAAAAGCCCGAAAATTCGTGCGGCAATTCGGCTTGTGTGCCACGAGTCATTCGCCGATCGATCGAGCGGAGACGACGCAAGTGAGCAGTGGTCATGATGTACAGTGGATATTGGTCGTAATGATCATGATCATGATCATGATGATGATAATAATAATAATGATGATGACTTGATGGCTGCCAATGTTGCTAGTCTACTGAAAACTATTCAAACCGCCGACGCGTCGTGTATTGAACGAGTGCAAACCGCTTTCAGAAAGAGCAGGATAGACATTGGATCGACTGCGAGAGAGAGGGAGAGAGGGCAGACCAGATGCAACGACACCTACGCCCCAGTCAAAATACAGTTCCCCAACAGTTCCCGGCCCGTTTGGGGGTATCGCCGGCGTCGTCACACTCAAAAGGCGAAACGGATTACAAGTGTTAAGCGCAAAGATCTGGCAAATAGAACGGGGGCCACAGCCCATAGCTGACAGCAACGGCTGCGGATGTCTGTTGCTGGATGGATTGATGTATAAGCCATGGGTCCCAGAAACGAGCCCGAATCCCCGAACGGTTGAATGTCTGCCAGTTGAATGGACAGCGACGTGCCACCGGGACAACGGGGCAGCGGGGCAAGGGGCATGGATTTGTGCAATTTTGACAGCTCGCTGGAGTTGCGCCAAAAATGCCACCGCCAATGGAGTGGAATCGGACCAGGGAGGTGGCTACCCGAGAGTGGGGAAAAACATACTCGACAAGCTTAAATCATTTGACATTCTTGCTAAAATGTTTGTTCTTCTTCCCGTACTCGTGCTCGTACTTTGATGCGATCCGCAATTAATCGTCGTCATCCTATAATAGCGACTCATCCATGTATAATTACGGAACGCATTGTACACGACAGCCCCAGGAAGCAATAGCCTCGATCAGCTAATCAATTTACGAGGTTAAATATAATTATTATTGTCAAAATTATTCTTGGAATTATTTGTCTGGTCGCTGGCAAAAATGAAAGCGCATAGCAAGAGATAGGCCCCACTTTGAAGTGGAGATAGGCCTAATGAGAGGGTTTTTAGTGTATGATACCAGCCCCCCTCCGAAAAAAAGATTCCCAATCTTATTATTATTATAAATATAGATTTATAGCTCCGCTTAACTTCATGAACTTAATCGCAAACTTACCCATATGTCTTAAAAGGTATTTAATCTTCGACGTGCCTTGCTGACTTCGTGAAAAAGTATTTAAGAGCACTTGGCCCGGGCAATGCCGGGCAAATCGAGCTACTATACATATCTTCTTAATTCTTATGCTCATGTTTTATATATTCCTTAATTATTTATAGTCCTATGCAAATAAGAATCCATTTGCCTCTAAAATCAATTAATTTTTGACATTTATTTAACACGTTACAAATAATTATGCAAACATCCATTTCCGATGCTACTTTTTTTAAATTCAAACAATTAATTTTAATTAGGCAAAACATAAAGCGTATTCTCGAGTCTTTAAAGCACACCAAATAATTTTTTATAAAAGTGTTCTATTCTTTCTTTTTCTTCTTCTATTTAATTCTTAAGTATATTCAAATATTTTATTAATTCATGATTAAGATTTAATCAGCACGGGTCAAGAGCTAATCAAAGTATATACTATATACAAGCCAAGCTGCTGCAGTTGATAACGCGTAAACTGATGCCTATATAAATTGAGTGCACATCGCTTTCTAGTCAGTCTATATGTGACATTAGGCAGCTCCGAAGATCAAGATGTTTGTGGCAAAGGTATTGTTCGTCTGTGCGGCTGTTGTGCTGGTCAGTGGCTATCCCCTGGCACTTGGTGGTCCGCGACAGCTGAGCGAAAGTGAAATTGAAGAGGCTACAAATACGCTGCAAAAATCTCTGACCAAACTGGCCGCTGGTGAAGGACCCAACTACCGGTAGGCATCAGAACTCCATAATTCGTTAAAGACCAGCGCTCTAAAGATTCAACGTTTCTCTTTTGTATAGTATCTCGAAGGTTTTATCGGTAACCACACAGGTCGTTTCGGGTTCATTGGATAAATACAATGTGGAGCTTATCGATAGTAATGGAGATAAGAAGGTGTGCAACGTTGAGATCTGGGGTAGGTCTTGGCTGCCCAACGGCATTGAGGTGACCTTCGACTGCCCCAATGAAGAGAAGGTGATTAAGAACCATAGCGCCTAGGTGTGGGCTACAAGAAATAAATATTGCAAGTTCTTCTAACTAATTAAGACGTCTTTTAATTGGATTATTTTAAATTAACAGATATTTATAATTGTGTAAATACAACATACATATCTATGTGTATATAGTAATTGGGCTGATCTTTCTATAGACGGTTTTGTGTATAAAGATCATAATATCTGTAGTCTGTGTGAGTATTTCCCTGGTGTTATCATGATGCGATGTTCGATAAGACACCAAGACAGTGCCTAATATTGAAAACGAAGAAATAACTGATTAGAGCCTAATCATTAGAAATACATGGGGTTTACCCGATGTATGTAAATGACTATGTTATCACAAACAAACAAACAAACAAACAACAAACCCATGATAACAATAATTAAACTGTCCTCATTAAACGCTCCCATGTAACAATTGAGATTCGTTAAACAAAATCCTATTGTTATGATCGCCACTAGTTTGTACCAGAAATGACAAAAAAAAAGTGTACCAAATTCGATGAAAAGTACCATATACCTAAGTATAAGTATAAGTATAAGTATAAGTATAAGTATAAGTATAAGTATAAGTATAAGTATAAGTATAAGTATAAGTATAAGTATAAGTATAAGTATAAGTATAAGTATAAGTATAAGTATAAGTATAAGTATAAGTATAAGTATAAGTATAAGTATAAGTATAAGTATAAGTATAAGTATAAGTATAAGTATAAGTATAAGTATAAGTATAAGTATAAGTATAAGTATAAGTATAAGTATAAGTATAAGTATAAGTATAAGTATAAGTATAAGTATAAGTATAAGTATAAGTATAAGTATAAGTATAAGTATAAGTATAAGTATAAGTATAAGTATAAGTATAAGTATAAGTATAAGTATAAGTATAAGTATAAGTATAAGTATAAGTATAAGTATAAGTATAAGTATAAGTATAAGTATAAGTATAAGTATAAGTATAAGTATAAGTATAAGTATAAGTATAAGTATAAGTATAAGTATAAGTATAAGTATAAGTATAAGTATAAGTATAAGTATAAGTATAAGTATAAGTATAAGTATTTTTTAATTAATTTTAATTTTAATTTTTAATTTAATTTTAATTTAATTTCCCAAAAAAAGGTCCAGTGTACCATGAATAAATAAAGTGGTAGTTTTGGTACATTTGTACCAAATGTGACTGCCGTGCTTTTAGTCGATGCGTTTGCCAACACTTTCGACGAACTCAGCGAAGCACGTGCACACATATACACACACACGCACACATTTTACTTTATGCAGATATCTGTTCCCACTGCACGAATTTTGTTCTAGATTATTTACATATCTGTTCCCACTGCAAGCGAAGAGTTGCATCATCGCATGGTATTTGTGAAACTCACACGCTAACAATAGATATTTATGTTTTAAAAGTATATGCGATAATATGTTTATGTGTGGGCAATCATGTGCAGCCCGAAAGTGCTCAGTATTTGTTAGATTTTGATTGAAAACAGCATGACAATTGACAATCGCCCATGTTGACACCGCCTCCTATATGCACTCATAATTTCTTCCCCTATGACCAGTGCAGGCCGTGGGCTCACGCGCACAAAATTGGTCAGGTGGCGGCGCAGACAGCCAAATTGGCTAAGATCGTTGGCAATGCGAACGATTTCCGTTGCCGGCTACTAATGCCAACAACAACAGCAGCAGCAACAACAACAACAACAAAAAGCTTAAACAAAAACAACTTTAATTTAATAAAATTGAAATAAATGCCAAACAAATCAAGCGCGAGCGACTCGTGTACCAAGTTGTTGTTGCTCTGTTATTATTAATTGCGATTCTACGACAAAAATGCATAATAATGTATTCGAAATTCAAAAACTGCAAATACCTTGCGAAATGCTCTGCACAGCTCAAGAACAAGTGAAAATTGTTGGCGCTTTCACGCGTTTTCGATACGCGCCGTTGGCATTTGAATATTTGACGCCATCGCCATCGCTATGTCATCGGCCATGTCAAAAATTGTCGCCCTAATCCGGCCGCACCACACTCCCAAGACTCATCCGCTCTCCAGCCTTGTCACAGGCCAAGCATTGAACATTGCGCATTCGCTCCATTGGCCCATGTGCATCCTAGCCACAGTATCATGTGGTCAACGCTTCCGCTGAGGAAAACTAAAAAAATATAAAGAAAATGCAAAAATAAAGCACAGATCTGAAAAGCACCTCACAAACACACACACACACACGGATGCACACACACTCGTACGCCGCGTGGGCCGAATGCAACAAATTGCTGTAGATGCCCCCAAAGTCAAAAGGTGGGAGTGCTGCGGCGAAAAGTGGCTCGACTGCAGGATACCCCATACGAACGAGCGTATCACAAGTAAAGAGTTTACTATTAGACTATGACATACCCTGTACAATTCTTACAAGTATCATACGTAGATCTGCAGGCCCCCAAAAACTAACCTGTGGCTTGGTTTACGGCTCGAAGCGAGTTCCTGCCTTTAAGTTCGATTTGTGAAGCCTCGAACCCTCATTTTGATTCAAGCCTTAGTTTGTCATATTGCCCGTTCTATGGTAAATATTGCAAACCCTAGATATTTTCATTTAGAAGTTGCGGGTTAAATTTGAGCTCTTCCCAAAATTGGCATCTACCAAACATGGTTGGATATATCCAATGGTTGGGGCCCTAGCTCTTATCTATGCTTTACCTTAACTCTTCTTAAACATTTTGGTATCAATAACTTACCAGGCAGTTCAACTGCCTTGTAAATATTTATTAACCAGCTATGCAGGGTTGCCACCTTGCAATGCAAATGTTATAAGTTACCGTTAGCAGTCAACAAAGCCTGCTTGCTAATTTGATTAGGGTATATAAAATCTAAAATAATATTTTGAAATATATTAGACAAAATATCTATGAAAATTTGCTGAAAATTTGAATGCAGCTCGCCGTGTTGCTGTTGCTGTTTTAATTTTCAGAGTCAATTAAAAATTGTTAATTTTACTTATAATTTTAAGGTAGGAAAATGCAATGCGACCAACACGACGGCAGCCAGAAAAAAAAAATTGCAATTAAAATATTTGCGCGACTTTGTCACGACGACGACGACGACGCCGACGGCGTCAGTTGATGTCGGCAAATTTGGCGTTGAGTTGACATACCCAGCATACCCTGTACTCCCCCAACCGACCCCAACTGACAGTCAACTAGTGTGTGCCATGTAAATTGAGAATTGTTTTTGTTTCTTGCTCCGTTGCAAGCATAAAAATTAATCTATAAACCATCTGGATGTGTCTAGATATTTGGTAGAGCTTATAAACATATATGTATACCTAAGTTACAGGTAAAAGTTTAAGTATTTTTTAAGGAAACTTGGCCGTTTTGAATTCGAACTGATGGAGCTGCAATTAAATGTACTTTACTATCCAAAATACCAAAATTCGATTAGACCTTGAAATGATTGCTAGTAAAATTTGATTTTAATATGCGGAAATATATGTGTACAGAATAGCGAGGCAAGATCATTAAAATCATTTTTGTAGCTCAGTAAAAATATGTTTTAAGTACATAGTTGCGGCTGCAACAGAAAGTAGACGTACGTACAAGTTTTTATAGGTCAGCTAATCACAAAATAGTTCACATTATATGATGAGATGAATAGGTTCTATTAATATTAAGCTCTTCATTTTTTTTTTTTGTTATGTAAACTTAATTATGTAAAGTTTGAACCTTCAAGGAATATCACAATACACATATATCTATGGCATTTCTGTGTACCGTATTTCTGACTGGCTGATCTTGCAACATGGCTAAACTTCATTTATTTCAATGTCAAATCCGCACGGACATTTAAAAAATCTTGCAGCCAAGTGCCAGCACGATCCCAGGCCCAGGCCCAGATCCGCGTGCACAAGCTGATGGTGATCGCATCCAGATGCCAGGCCCCAGCCTTGGAGATTTGCTAAAGTTCTATTCGATTTTAATATACTTAAACGCAATCAATTTTAATGCGCTCGTTTCGGCTGCCTGTCGAATCGAATTCAATTTGATTTGCTTTTCGATGTGAACTTGCGCTGGGGATTTGGATATGGATATTTGGCTTCTGCGCCATTTGCAAGATCACCACCGAAAAATATCAAATACAGAATATATATGTGTACATATCTAGATATATTTATATACATACATATTTAAAAAGAAGGAGAAAACCGAAAAATTCTTGTTTACAAGCAAATACAAGTGTGGAATCTTACAAAAATGTTGCCGCTGCGTTCCATATGCACATGATCCGCATAGACGATCATCCACAACACACATGAACACAGTTTGTGAATACCTCTATTATATGCCCGACTTATGTGTTAACATAAAACAGATGACGAGCGGCAGCTGTGACTGCCAATCCAATCCGATCCAATCCAATTCGATTATTGCCTACCCCCAACTGGATACGGTTCTGGCTTCATCTACGTACGTTACGTGCCAAATGCCAAATGGCTGACGTCATTCCTGCTGCAGTCGTCTGGGTTCGGGTGCGGGGGGAGGGGGCTAAGTGGGGGTTTGCGGGGCAATAACAATGGCCATCAACGCTGTTGTTCATGATGCTGATTCTTGATAAGCGCAATCAGCAATTTACAGATGCTGTATGCCTTTATCCACATGTTGCGCTCAGTCCGGCTCCATCGGTGGACCCGAGATGACAATAATACGAAGGCTGATCTTGTTGTCGGTGCTGGTGAGCATAAATCTATTTATTATGTATCTAATATATTATAACATACACTCGCTTAGTGTATATTAATTTAAAACAAATATGAATGCTCTATGAGTTACTTAAGGGGTTAACATAGTATACTCAATTTTATCTTGCTTAGCTCTTTTTTTTTGTAATTTTTATGTACCTTACGATTACGTACTAAAAACCTGTTTAAACAAATCGTAAACCCAATTAACTTTGCATGTACAGTAGCGGACGAAAAATCCGGACAGGAATAAAACTAGCTTAGCAATATTAGCTTAATTTTATTTGAATGATTAAATATTCAAATGTTCGGTTTCTTTCTGATAGGAGAAAACTCACTTCGAATGTTTTTTAACTGATCTTCCGTTGTCCTATTCGGAATTACCTTCCTTTTTTGATTCGGCTACATCAAATTTTTTAAGGAAATTTTATCTTATCTTCAAAATTAAAGACCTATCATTTTGTGAGAATATATATCAATATATATTTATTTTAAGATGAGGTGCATTAAATTGTACCGAATATTTGTAGTCAGAAAAAATACACCGTAGCGGTAAAAAAAAGGTATGACGATCGTACTTAACAATGAACAATGGAAAAGTGGTTGTTCGAATTTTTTGTCCGCCATTGTATTTTGACAACTATCAAGCGTTCTACAGCAGTAAAAGATTGTACTTTACCGTAAACGTACCTACAACGATTACATGAACAAGAGCATCAAATATGGAAACAGTTGCAGCCTACACACATACATGCATACTTATTTGGGTCCCCACAAAATCCGTTAATTTGCTCAGCAAGTTGTTATCGATAACGATAAATATTTAACACCAGTTTTATTTTCCGCAGTTCGCACTGCTGACACGTGACTGCCTGTTGCTTGCAGTGCCTACGCCGACTTCATCAGCAAGGTCCGCCCAATCGCTGGCAATTCTCCGTGCTCGAGATGACTGCTATCGCAGCGAGAGGATTAGCTTAGACCAGCGACTGGCGCTGGAACGACAGCAGTACAAGAACTTACCGTATGTTCACCGTTATGTCTACTGCTTCTGGACGCGCCTACAGTTATGGCAGGATGGCATTGGCTTTGATGCGATGCGCATTATCGAGAGCTTTGGTGGCCCGAGACGGTTGAATCTCGAGCAAACTGTGCCGGCCATTAACAGCTGCAATGCGCATGCTCGCCGCTCCTCCCGGACCGTGCTTGACTGGTGCTATGGCGCGTTTGTTTGTGTGCTGCGGACGCCAGTGGGGGATTGGTATCGCCGGCACATGCAGGACGTAATCAATGGCAACGCTTAGCTTTAATTGCCTCAGCAGGTTTCGTTCCAAGGGAGGAGGTTGGTCGAAGGATCTGCGTTGTTGGATTGTATAATGTCTATGAATAATAAAAAGCAAAATACGTGCCTTTTATTTTGGTGTTGTATAATCGGTTTTGAAATTCAAATTCGTCGGCCCTTATACATACATACATCCATACATACATACATACATATATTAGCCAACCTTGAAAATCTAGTGTTATTCGCTCTAACTAGAAATAAGTACAGTAAATTCGATTTTCGATAAATAAATTTGGTGAGGATGGACCAATTGTCCCATACCTAACTGATTTTTGCCTTTTTACAGCTTTGATGCACATTCATCTGCTGGTTGTTCAGACACTTGGAAGTCGTAGTAGACTTGGGCAGCAAAATTCAATAAATTTTATACTGAAGGCTTTGACAAACGAATCTGAAAACCCGGTTAAGATGGAAAATAGAAAACTGCGCGACTTTGGAAAAGCGAAGGAGGACACAATTGATACAATCTCTAATGATGGCAGCACCACGCGCACACTGAAGTCGAAGATAATGGATTCGAACGCCCCATTGGATGTAACTGGCACCGGAACAGATACTATAACCGACTGTGTTGCAAAGCTACCAGAGGAGCAAGTAGCCGATGCTGCACAGGGTAAAAAGCAGCATCAGCAAATTGATGAAAAGGCCGGAGGCAATCAGCAGTCGTCTGGAGGGCATGATGCCGCCGATAAAGGTCAGGCTCAGGAGCAGCCAAAACAGAAGGGCTGCGACAAGTGCGGCAAGAAGTTCGGCCTGACCGGCGGGTTCTCCTGCCGTTGCGGCGGCACATTTTGTGCCTTTCATCGCTATAGCGATCGCCACGATTGCAGCTTCGATTATCGCGAAATGGGCGCCAGCGAAATACGCCGTGATAATCCGTTAGTTGTGCCCGAAAAGCTGCGCAAGCTCTAGCGACTGAGCATCTTAACGCCGGCTTGGCCCTTCTTTCAATTGCAGTTGTTATTGTTATATATATATATTTTTGTTTAATAATTTTTTTGGCATGAGCTGAGCTAAACTGCATTCACCACAAAACAACACACAATAGAAACCGAGCTAGCGCAAATACAAAACACAGAGAACATGTACAACCAAAACCAAAAACAACGAGGCATAGCATAATGTACAATAAATCTTACTAATGTAGCATTATTGTAAAACCACCCACCAATTCCGAATAAGCTGAACGCCTCGAAATTCTATCAGAGGCAACTGGCTATTTGTTATATTGTTATATTGTAAATAGCAACTAACCGTTAGCTATAGCTAGTCCTCAGTTAAGTAATAAGTACATGTGCCTAATGTTTAGAAAATAGAAATAAATAAATATTTAAGTGAATTCTTAGAATATTGCTTGATTTTCTGGAAATTTTTTCGCAGCTTTCAATAACGTTCAAATATTTGACATTCAAATATATATGTTAGGCGAACCCTTTGGCGCCCTCTTTGTGTGTTTGCACACCAGCGACATCTGTTGGCAACAGCGAACAATTCTGCCAACGCATCGTCAGAGTGGAAAATGTATCGATAAATTGATGAAAATGCAAATCTAAATTAGAAAAATAAATAAGCTGACAAATTGTAGCTACAAAATTGCAAAATAAACGACGCCAAACGATAAACATAAACATCAACAAAAAACATTGGAGTCGACGAAAGCGCGCGAATTGTCCACTCGACTTGTGTTGTTCACATTAATGCGCATTTAAATGGAGATGGAGAAAAAAGCCAAAGACCAATTGCGTCGCTACAAGAAATCACGGCACACACACTCCAGCAGCGAAAGCTCCAGCACGGACACGGACAGCGGCAGCAGTTCCTACAGTAGCTCAGACAGCGAACGCGACCATCATGGCCATGCCCATCCGCATCAGCGTGCCGCCGAGCGCCATCATCGGAAGAAGAAGAGCTCGCGGCGTGCGGGCAGCACGTCGTCAGGCGACGAGCGACGGAAGCGCGATAAGCGTGATCGGGAGCGCGATCGTGATCGGGACAGAGATCATGTCCAGAAGAAACTGGTGGCCAAGCGCAATCACATCAAGCGTAAGCTCAAGGAGGCGCGTCTCAAAAAGCGAGCCGCCGCCGCGCTCAGTGGCCACGGCCATCGCGCCCTCTCGCCGGCCACACAGGCCAAGCTAAAGAAGTTGGCGGAGCGCAAGCATTTACGGGCCGCCAGCAAAGAGCAGCGCGAAAAGCTGCGCGGAGTGCATCGCGATCGGGAGCGAGAACGGGAGAGGGATCATCATCGCTTGGGCAGCAGTCGGTCGCCGACGGGCGTCTCCAGCACCACGACCACCACCAAAATACGCATACATCAGGATGTGGTGGGCAAGCGGCAGAAGAGTCCGTGCCCCGGCTCGGGCTTAGGTCCAAACGGCACGCCCGCCGCCCGTATGCATCATCAGCTAATGTCGCGCGAGAAGATCATAATACAGACGCGTGCACGGGGACGCACACCGTCACTGGAACGTGAACGGGAGAGGGAGCGAGAACGGGAGCGCATCGAGCGTGAAAGGGAGCGGGAGCGAGAGCGCGAGCGTGTGGAACGGGAGCATGACCGGCAGCGGCACGAGCACAAGCTGCAGCGCCATGATGATCTATCGCTGCGGGAACGTGAACGGGATCGCCGCGATCGTGAACGGGAACGTGCCGAACGCGAGGCGGCCCGTGACAAGGAGCGGGCAGAGGCATTGGCACGCTGCCAGGAGCGGCAGCGGGAGCGTGAGCGTTTGGCACGCGAAAAGATGCGTCGCCAGGAGGAGGAGGAGGGCAAAAAACCATACGGCGGTGCTGGCGTACGGGATCTGGACATGCCAATGCCATACGGCAGCCGCGAACGTTCGCTGGAAACAGTGGAGCGCACGGGTCGACATGTCCGCGACAAGCGCGACCTGGATGTGTATGAGCGTGAGCAGGAATTTATCGAGGCCGAACGACACGGCTTGATCGACGAGATGCGCCGCTATGGCGGTCAAAGACGTCGCGAGCTCAGCCCCTTGCCCGAGCACTATCCGCCGCGCTTGCGAGATCCACGCGATCTCTACTCAGAGGAGGAACGAGAGCGGTAACAACAATACTCCTATTTAACCACAAAATCATAACAGTTACATATGCTAGTTGATCCAATTACAGTGATTGGAGCGAGCCGTAGTTGACCCACCCATGTCCTAGCTCAAACTCTACATTTCGGTTTTCGTAGGCCACGTGCAGATCAAGTTTGTTGGCCTGTGGGTTACCACTTTGATACTAGCTGGTATTTCCCGGTCTTGCCCGGATCATGCTCTGCTTCATTTGGCTTCAAATTTTAGACTTAAATTTGTTCACCCATTTTCGATCTTTGGAAAATTAACTGTACTATCTTGAGCTGCAAGTCTCAAGTTATTATTTTACATAGATATTTTAAATGTTGGGTTTTGAGTGTGGAACACGTATCGCATGAATTTCCACTGAGATCTTTGAAAATCAGATTCAAGCCGAAAAGATGGTTTGCAAAAAAGTCGCAAGTTTTCCGGACATTTTCGGCTGGAATTTCCCACCTTCATCACAATTAATGAGTCAGTATATAGATTTGACTTCTTTTTATACTTTCTGTTCGATTCTATAAGCAACGGAACTTGCAAGTTTTCAGCCCCAAAGAAATTCATCTCATATCAATACCTATTTGAACTCAATTCCTATTTGCAGGGCCTACAAGCGTGCGTATATGGATGCACGCTACTCTAGGGAGCGTGAGGCGTGGCTGGAGGCGCGCGATCTGCGCGACTATCGTGAATTGGGCGCGGATGAAGCGCTCTATCCAGAGGAGCGAGAGCGCATTTTACGTGAACGTGAGCGGGAGAGAGAGCGAGAACGCGAGCGTTTGCCGTCACGCGGTGATTATCGCGCCGAGTGGGAACGCGACTGGGATGATGATGTAGGCGGCGGTGGCAGTGGCGGTGCAAATGGCAACGGCACGCCCGGACGCGCCAGCGGCTTCGTGGGTGGCCCCAAGCGGCCGAAGCCGCCAACACAGCAAACATCACAGCAGCAGCATCATTCCGCCTCGGAGCCCGATTGGGATGCAGATGAGCGAGAGGAGTGCGGCGATAATGGTGTCGGTGTGGTTAAGAATGAGCCCGCCTGGCTGGAGCATGATCAGCGCGAAAAGCCGCGCTCATGGCAGCAGTCGAACAGCGACTGGCGGGACAGCGACGAGCCGAACTTTGGGCGAAACAATGGAGCTGGCGTTGATGTGCAACCGCCGCATCATCCACCCTCACCCTCGCCGCATCATCATGTGCATCCACGTGGCGAGCGAGGCGGAGGACGCGGCTTCCGTCGTGGTGGTGGCGGCGGCGGCCCAGGGCATGGCCATGACCATGGCGAACGTGGCTACAGGTCGCACCCACCGCCACTAATGACTCTGCCAGTGCAGCCACCAGGTGGCTATCATGGTGGCGGTGGCAGCGGGCGTGGCTTTCCGCACAAGCGCATGCCCTATGGAGGCGGTGTTGGCGGCGGCGGCGGCGGTGGCTTTCTCAAGAAGCATCCACATATGCCGCCAACGGCCGCGACTACAGCAGCGTCTGCTATCCAGGCGCTGCCGCACGCCCAGCCCAAGCCAGGTAATGCCGCGGCACAGGCCAGTGCTGTAGCAGCAGCCACCACTGCTGTGGCGGCAGCCAAGGCTGCAGCACAGAGCGCTGCCAATGCCACCACCAATCCGGGCATATTGGCGCAAGTTAGCAAGCTGCCAAACATCAAGCAGGAAGATGCATCCGAGGACTCGGCGGGCACATCGGAGCTTGGCCAGAACACCGGAGCTGGTGAGCCAGCATCGGAGCTATCCACAGATACGTCCATACGCCAGCTGAAGGAGGAGCCAAAGCCAAACGGCGAGCTAAGCGAGATCAGTGACAGCGACGATGATATACTCAACAAAACGGATAAAGTGAAGCCCAAATGCGAGCTGCAACTGGATAGCGCACTAGCTAGCACCCAAGAGCTCTCCACCGACACGTTGTCCACCAGTGAAGAGCTTAACAAAGGCGAAACACAGCCTCAGTCGCAGACACAGGCACAGGCACAGACAAACATTAAAAGTGAGGAGGTGGACGAGGTGCTGGACTTTGAGGAGATATCAGATGGCGAATTGGAGGAGGATGCTAGGCACAAGGGTAAGAGACAGCAACAGCGAGAGCTCTAACATAAGAATGGATAAATGAATCCTAAGCAAAGTTTGATTCAGGATGACAGCACAAAATTTTAATTCATGCACTTCGCTTTGCAGGCATTGGTGATGCTTTGGGCGTCGACTGGCAGGGTTTAATTGCGGAGACGCGACAGCAGGCGACAGAGCATGCAGCACAGCAGGGCTCCGATCGGAACACCTCCGCCAAGCAGCGCTGGCAGCCACATCGCGTGCTGCTCGACATGGGTATCAGTTTTGGCATGGCCGGTCCACAATATGCCCGTCGCATTATTGAGGACGCGCGTCAGCAGCTGCTGCAGGAGGAGCAACAAGCGCAGCAGCACCAGTTGCTGGTTAAAACGGAAGCCAATAGCGATTCAACGGAGCCCAGCAAAACGCCACCAGCACATGACTATCGCGAGTTGCTGGATACCGAGCATGTGGAGCCGCTGGCCTGTGTCCAGATGGGCTTGCGCAGCGCAGCTGCCGAGCGACAGCGCTTGGTGGGTAATGTCTGCGGACCGGGCAGTCGTGCATTGAGCGCTCGCCAAGATTTACGTTTGCGCCGTCAGCTGTGCGGCCTGCCCGCCCGTGAATGTGACTTTCCACGCAACGTGCCCATTGTCAGCGAGGGACTACGTTCATTGGCCATGCACATGTTCCAGCGCACCCTCGATGTCAAATGAGATCCGATCGCTCGGCGTCGGCTCGAGCAGTTTAGCTATAGACTAGATATACAAATCTATATGCAATGTCCAAATAACATCCCGATCGGCGATGACATTGAAGATAATAATGACGATTAAGAGTCTGTTTGAAGATCATGCCTAATATGGTAATGCGAGCAAGGTCACTTGTGCTTTACCCTAAATACCTTAATACTGTCCGAGATTCCAATAATTGTAGCTATCAAATCAAACAATATTAATGTATATTCGTGGATCAATTGAATTAAAAGTAAATATTGTTCCAATTGTCCTAAAGATAATTTGTAGGCCAAATCATAAAACATAAAACAAAACAGCGTTAGAGACATCGTATACTGGACCCTGTAAAAACGATATGCAATTCAAGTTATTAGCGCTACCCGTTATGGGAAAATTCTCTTCTTTTTAGATGCGAACCGCCTTTCTATGAGATTTTCATCATTTCAAGCAATACATGACTATAGAGCATTATATTTTTCGTAGCTAATATGACTCGGACTTCCTCTATCAAGCGACTGTCTCTCTCTCTCTCTCTCTCTCTCTCTCTCTCTCTCTCTCTCTGCCTCGTATCGTAGTATCAATTACTCCAAGTCCCTTTCGACGAAATCGAGAAACTCATTTTTTTTATTTATTTCGAATCAATTTTTTATATAAAAGGTTTATAGTTCTCCTACTCAACGTCGGTGTGGGCTTTAATCCAATCCACAAAGGGATAGACACGTGCATAGCCATCTGGGTTGGTTGTTCCGCAGCCACCATAGACAAAGCCGGCAATGCCAACAACTTCATTGTCGTAGAGGGCGGGTCCACCCGAGTCTCCATTGCAGACACCGTTGTCCGCCTCATGGAGCAGACACAAGATATTAGGATATCCATATTGAATGCGGCTCTCGCATTCCGCCAGCGACAGCGATTTGAGCGTTGTCCATTGCAGATATCGTGGCAAATCGCCGCCTTGGGTAAGGCGACCCCAGCCGGAGACAATGATGTCAGCGTCGTCTGGCGTATTTTTGGTGGGCAATGCGATTGGCTGGATGTTTGCCGAGTAGATAAAGGGGGTCTCCACGCGAAGTAGAGCCACATCGTTCAGGAAATTGCCATAATCCTCGTGCACAATGATCTCGACTACCTGCACCTGAACGCCTCCTGTGAATCGATCATTGCTGCCGGCACGTATGCCATACCGGCTGGCTGGCTGAATGACTAACTCCCCATTGGCATCATCGTAGGAAACGCAATGCGCCGCGGTTAGCACCCAGTTCCTCGATATGATTGATCCGCCGCAGGTATGGGAATCGCCGTTGCGCAGCGATATTTGATGCGGAAACTGCGCCTGTGTGGCATCCTCGCCGCCCACAATGCGACCGCTGAGACTACCATGTGGTGCTCCATGGCAAACGGCAGCCAGCAGCAAAATCGATCCAATCAAACTGGAAATCATCGTGACAATAACTGAAACGCCCCGCAGGCAATGCACAGTTTTTTATACACGGCGTTAGTCTAATCTGGACTACGATTATTTATAAGGCAACTGGCCACCAAGAAACTAAACTAGATTTCGCCATTTCGATATCTTATCTTCTGACATTCAGCAACGGGATTTATGAGTGCCTCATTGCTTTCAATTACCCTTATCAATGGCAATATAACAGTTGAATTGGATCGATGATGCTCTCTGATATTGACCACAATCTACGTTGTCGGCAAGATGCCTGTGCATATCGCTTGATGCTAAAGAGAGTCCAAAGCAGGCTTTCAACCATGGCTGCAATCCTGTTTTCCTATAGAAGCAGATTCGGGTTCAAACCTTGCCTTGTCACACATTTTCTTAAATCTTTATGTCATTATAATTTTTCTAGCCGTAGATATTTTCATATAGCTCTTGCGGGCTAAATTTGATCTCTACCCACAGATTTATGCTCTGAGACTGAGTTTCTAACAAAAGTTTTTAAATTTAAACCAAACCCTTTTTTTTTTGTTTAGGGAATCAAAATTTGTTTGCAGCCTTTAATTTTACCTTTAACAGAGATCGCTCCCTAACTGATATTAAAATTCTCGAAAAGGTTCGCATTGTTTTCAAATTATTAATGCCTTTTAATATAAAATTCTTTAAATTATTATCTTCCGTTTTTTTTAACACATTTTAATTACATTAACACGAATCTTTGAATTTGAATAACAAATAATATTTGGTGTTATGGGAAAATGGCACTAGCCAAAATCTGAACTGTTCACAAAACGAAAATCTCCTCTAGATTCGTAGAGTTCTGATTAAATAGAATAAAAATAAAACATTCTCATTTTCTTTTTACGTACACACAAGCACGTCAATTTGTTCATTATTAATTGATTTTTTTTTTGATGGATGTAACGGACACGGAATAATGATATATATATTATTATTAATTATAGTAACTCGGCTACAATTAGTTCATACAAAGACGACAATTGAACTGCGATTGTTATTTATATCTTAGGGCTACGATTGACAGAAATGTTGTGTAAAATGCGAAAACTTTAAAACTTAAATAAAGCAAATGAATAAACATACACATAATTAAATGGAATGCACGAATTCTGGGAGCTACACAAATTATCCCATCAAGAAAAAAACAAACAAATGAAAATCGATTTTAAAATTAACGGACAAACCAAAAAAAAAAAAACAAAAACAAAAGAGGGAATACTGAAATATATGAACGGGCTGTATAGCTAGATAAGATAGTAAAGCTATGTGGTTTTATAAATAATATAAAGTACTTTAAATTACGTATAGGTGTAATTTGTGTATGCTTTAGTAAACTTCAGTACGAACGCCGCGCCCCGCCCCGAAATATCTCTCCTAGACGCTGTAGAGGGTGCTGTTGTCCGGTTCCACGGCGACGGCCTGTACTATAAAGCGTCTGCGGTCCGCCACATCGCTGGGCGCCGATGGCTGAGGATACAGAAACAAAATCAATATATGTATATATTGGATATTTATGCATTAAGATAATTGTATATGATAAGAGTCAGTTGGTTAATGGCTGTTAACTATACATATATATGGGGAATATCAAGCAGGTGCAGATTTATACCAAGCTGGGTTGATTTAGGATACCGAAGCACATGCAGGATAATATAGATGGGTTCATATGTGTGTATAAACATAAATCAACAAAATACTCACACAATGCAACACAAATAACGTTGTGTGTGTTTTGGCCTCAACTCAGCTATAAGTTACATTTGCCTTAAACATTCTCTAAACAAATTCCTAATCATTTAACTTTTTCAATTTTACAAATATTCATATTCATATATATATATATATCAATTTTCGAATGCAAACGTATCACAAATCGGTTCAAACAAAATGTTTTTTTTTTTCAAAATTAAATTTTCTATTTCTCTTTTTTGATTAATTTTGTTGTCAAATAGTTCTTTCTCTCAACCGCTGTTTGTTGCTGTATTGATTGATTGATTGATTATGGTTATGTGACTGTGATGTATGATTTTCGAATTTCTTCTGCAAATAAAGCTGCCTTTCTTTTTTTTTTTTTTTTTTAATATTTATCACATATTTGAAACAAACAAACAAACAACAACAACAAGCAAAGGATCTATGAGTTTTCAGTGTGCTATAGAATGTGTGTATTCTAGGAATAATACTCGAGACTTTTGATCTAAAATAAAACGTAAAAGAAAATAAAACAGAAACACATTTTAAATTAGGACATTAACACAACAATTATGCAATAAAACTTAGACAATAAACGAAACGTTCACATACATATTTATATATAAAAGATCTATATATATATATATATATATGTGCACGAATTGATTCAGATTTTGAAGTCCTGAGTGAAAGCTTGTGCGCCTTTCAAGTCTGTTTGCATTGTGGATGAGCGTTAGACAAACAAAACCAACAACCAGCCCGGAAAACAGAACCCACAACCAGAAACGGGACCGTAACCGCAACCGCAACCGAAACTCAATTTGAATCAATCTATCGCCGAGTTGGTGGAATTTCGTTGGCGTCTTTGCCGTCACTCACATCGGTGCATTTGCATTGCGTCTCATCGAAGACGGTGCCGGTGGTGCAGGATTGATTGTAGCGGCAGGCGCAGGTGCAGTTGGCGTCGTCCCAGTACTTGTGATCCGATTGCTCCAGGCACTTGTCGCGCGCATCCGTGTTTTGGCACTCGCAGCGGCACAGATCCTTGCGATACTCCTGGTACGCATTGCAGTCCTCGGCCTTGATGCGGCAATCGCATCTGCAGGCCAAATGCTGCTCCACACTGACAATGGCAGATCCGCGCTTGCTGCTTGCCCCAAAGCGCTCCACCTTCCGGACGCGCAGCTGCAGCGTCTCCGTCTGCGTCGGCTGGCACGAGATCAGCGTGGAGCCGCAGCAGCCATTGCATCGATTGATGCGCGTACACGCCGGCGTATAGTAGACATTCGATGCCGTCTGCTCGCCGGCCTGCTCCGTCAGTGGCTTCAGCTCCACAATGGTGGGCTGTGGTGAGCAGCTCGCGGGCGTTGCATAGCGCACTTCAGCTAAATTGGGTAAGAAACCGATTAGCAATTGCCCTAAGATGGAGAGGGAATCTATTAAATCGAACTTTACACTTACCACGCGACACGCTGCGCTTAAAGTTCTCTGTGGCAGGAAGAGTAAAGTAAAGGATTGCATTAGTTAATCAGAAATACACAATCAGATTTCTTTTCTTAGCGCTTCTTACCCTTGGAGGACTCGCCGGAGCCATCAGCTTCGCCAAAGTCTGCCGTCACATTGCTCAGTTCCAGTGCGAGCTGTGCGAAAAGAAATGCAAATTTTTTATTATTATTAATAATACAAATCTTTGTTCTATTTTGATTATTATCATTTCTTTTTACATCAAACGTTTCTTTGCACGAAATCGATAAATATCGATTATCAAAAAAACGTTTTTTGGCCAAATCTCGCAACTTGTAGGATTCCGTATGTTATGTAGATTCTCGTAGATCATGCAAAGCTGACTTCTCGGATTACTTTCACCGTTTCTCACAAAATAGCAAAAAAACGCATTTCTGCGTTCTTTGGTATATTTCGATTTTTGGTATAGGTTGACATTCTAGAGGAAGGACAAGGTACTACCAAGTTATTCAAGAACACATTTTCCATAGTGTGGGGCTCAAGGCGGAAGAACCGGTGCAGGGTGCAGTTTAAGGCGTGGGACAGCTTTGGGATACGCTGGGCTTAGGGTAACTAATGGGACTTTTAGGTTATATTCGGCTAACTAGAGCACACTCTCACTTTGATTTTCAATCAATACTATAAACTTAACTCGTTAAGGTCGGAGATCATCGACAGCTTTCTTTTCTTAGTTCTAAAGAAATGCAATACCGTATAAGAACAGGTTCGGTTCGGTGTATTAACCGAAACATATTTGATTGATATTGCGGCAAATTTGTTATTTTCAATACATTTCTGTGGAAACGTTTTCGTTTTTACACGGCGTCACATGCCGTGCCACTCAAAAGTGAGAAACTTCTTTGCTAATGATTAAAACAAAACAAATTAGGTAATAGCTGCTGCAATAGTGAACGTCAGGTGCTCGGCATAAAAGCACGAGATTATAATTCGCAAGTGGTTTAAGTGCAAGCTTGCGAAATGGTTTGCCTGGCATGGAAGCTGCTGGGCCGTCTGCCTGCCTGGCTCTGCCGACAGACGATTTCTGTAACAATTAGATATGGAGATTGAAAATTAACAGAGCAACTAAAAAAACAGCTGTGTTGAAACACGCGAAGCCCCTAAACAATAACAGAGAAGAATCAACTCGTTTATTGCGTTCTTCGATATTCGAACTGTTTGGCTCTGTTTTGTCTGAGAAAAACAGCTAAACAAAGGCTCAGACGAATGCAATCAATAGAAAACACCTGTACCAGTGCCTTTAGCTGTACCTGTAGATGCGGCAGTATATGTACTATGTATCGTATAGAGTAGGCTCTGCCCCTCGGCAGATTAGTCACTGGCCAGGCCAATAGCGATTCGTTGGCCAACAAATTCCATTGAAACACGCGCAGCACATTTTTCGTCTTTTTTTTTCTTTCTTTTATTTTGCTATTTTTATGTCGTCCAGAGCCAAACAGCTTTGAGAGCTGAGTCAACCCGGGGATAGGGTATTCAAGCCACAGCGTATTCCCTGCGAAACACGTGCCAAATGCCATTCGGGGCTTAGCTGTTTGTTGTATTGCCTGATTGACCAATTGACACGTCGCTCGCATTGGCGTCAATGTCGTCGAGTCGCGGCTTCGTGCCTTGACCATGAATCATGGTGTCGCCACCTGCTGCCGCTAGTTGCCATTTAGACGCTACTAACTAATTAGCACGTAAACAGAAGGAGAGCGAGAGAGAGAGAGAGAGAGAGAGAGAGAGAGAGAGGGTAAGAGGGAGAGTGGGTACGAAAATAGTTAGCTTTTCAAGCTGTTCAAACAACAAAATTCCTTGTTATTTTATGCCCTGATCTCGAGAACTATGCGAGCTAGAGACTTGAAATTTGGAACGTAGCTCCTCCATGTGCTCAAGCAAAACAGGTTTGTTTTCGTTCAGCGATAGCTTGCCGCGTTTTCATGAAATCGATAAAAAAAATCGATAGGGAAATCCCGTTATTTGAGCATAAATTGGAGCTTTGAGCATACAAAATATTTCACTTTCTGTATACCTACAGCGTTCCTCACGATTTGGCGAGCTATAATCGTCTGCTTTGGTATTTACACACATTTGTATGCCCTTTTTATGCCCTGAAAATTTCATAAGGATCGGACATTAAATGCCGAAGTTAACCAAGATGACTGTGAGGCTAAGGGAGATCGTGCCTGTCTGTGTGTGTTTGAGTGTATGTGTGCATATTAAGAAGATAAAATGCTTATTGGGGACCTATTTTGTACAGTGTAAGATCGTAGTAGGCACTGTCCGGCTGCTAGAGATGTGAAATTAACCGCAAACTATATGGAGCAGATCCTAGTAGCATTTAGAAAGAGGGCAACACATAAATTCAAATCAATATACATTATTACCACAAATGCAACACACAAATTAAGGGGAGAAGAAAACCACAACACAAAACTTAAATTTACGGAACCGTGCATCAACAACGTGCTGAACAACCTGCATTCATGTGGAGCTTCTATGGGGTAAGTGGCAAAATGGACAAATACTCTATATACATACATATATACATATATTTATATATATCAGATCGGAGATAGAACCAAACAAAATCGACGAAACGTGTCGACAAGTGAGTGTTCAGATTTCCGGGGGATTAAATAACGAGACATTTAAGATAAGTGGAAATTCATTTATGAAAGTCAAGATATTTGCAAACAACATAAATGAGCTGTTCCTGCAAAAATATGGCTTGTTTTCTTAGCTAGGTAATGCCCATGTAAACATCCAATTATGCCAAGCATTATTTACAGGTAGCTTTCAAAGATTAACTGCACTTTAACGCGTCATTCGATTAGGCCCAACGTTTCCGTTGCCAGGAACAATAAAAATTCCATTCACATATTGCAGTCGCAGTTCTAAGAAAAGCGGAAAGCGGCGAAATACGATCCAATTGTTTTTACTGATAACTGTAACTGTATCCGTATCCGTATCTGTATCTATATTTTGGTCTGTATCTGTATCTGTATCTATGTAAACAAACGCGTAACGTTTGTTTACTGCCACCTCGCATAAATATTCCAAAAATATCATTTCCGTTGCGACTTCTGCTTTGAGGTGGAGGCGCTGCCCTGCGCAGGTGGGTGTGCAGCGAGTGGGGGAAGGAAGCTTCGGATTTATCTTTTAATTGGCGAAGCAAATACAAGTGCGAGGTGGCCGCATGAGTAACGCCTAATTAAAGCGGAATGTGCGCGCTATTTGTCTTGGCATCAAAAGGCGGCCACTATCAATGCCAGGGGCCAGGGCACGCTGTCCGTTTGCGTGGCTCTTATCAAAGCGGGCGCTGTTGGCGCTGCAACTGCAACTGCAACGGGGTGCTGACCCAAATATGCAACGTCTCGCTGCGACGCGTTGGCGCCAAGCTGTGTTTACTCACCGTGACAGGCTCAACAGATGCGGCTGCTGCGCCCTGGCAGCAGCTCGTCGCCTCCGCTGCCTCGACTTCGGCGGCAGCGTCGTCTATTGCACGCTGCGGCCGCGCATAGATGCGCGACTGCGCAGTCGCAGCGGCAGTCGTGACGGCTGCGCCGCAGCTGAACAGCAGCAGCAGCAACAGTGCCGAAAATTGCTTTGACATTTGGCGTCGGCGTCGCTGCTGCGCATGCTGTAAGTCGCTGCTGCTGCTGCTGCAACTGCGCGTTGTATGCTGGGTTTGTGTCATGGCTAAACGTCTGTTGTTGGCGCGCTGTTAGCGTGTGCACTGTTATCGCTGGCTGTCTGTCACTTGTTGTTGTCTGCAAATAGAGCAAAGCCGTGGAAATAATGAGTGAGAGCGAGAGAGAGAGAGAGAGCACAACACTTAACATGTTTGTATTTTGAAGCTTATTCAAGCAGCAGAGCTTTTCATTTGTCTACTTGACTGTGATTTATGGCAAAATTTATGATGAGCGAGAAGACGTCAGTGGAGGATGTGGTTGCTGGTTCTGTTTGCTGATTTATTTATGGGCTAGTCAGCGGCTGTACGAGTCAATGCAGCAGGTGTGCACACACACACGCACACACACACAAAAACACACACACACGCACACCAATAACATACATCCACCCACCCACTCACAGACTTGCAGACAGAACCAACTGGAATTGGGGTCAGTATTTGTTGTTGTATTGTTGTCAACTGTAAGTGACAAAACCTTTTTTTATGGTTAACTTGACATTGATACAAAAGTAGACGCAACAATAAATAAAGAATAACAACAAATGCAGCGTTATCATAAATATACACACTCGCACATGCATACAAAAGTACATACATATATTTGTATATTTCTGTATGTGTGGGTGCGTGTGTGAGCTCACAACCATGCGTCGGGCATATCAATAAGTAAATCATCAAACTGATTGCTTGGGTATTCAGCAAAAGGCAGCTGACCGACTTGAAAATACCCTGTGCTGAGTGAAAGAGCCCTTTACCGAACCGAACAAAATGTGTTTCATCCAATTTCCATAGTAATAATATAAGGAATCATAATAATTTGAATCAGTCGCTAGTTTGATTTGCGGTTTGAACCAACTCCCAACCTTTTGGTTCAAACCTTAACTTGTATTACATTTTCCATAAAACAATTCCATTTGTAATTTCTAATTGTCCGTTCTACTGAGAATATTGCAAGCCGTAAATATTTTCATATAGAACTTTCAGGCTAAATTTAATCATTTACCAAAATTGGCATCTACCTTTACTTTTGTATTAATCTTAGTCCCCTTCAAATCTTAAGATTCGACTTGAAATTCCGGGTTTTAACCGCACGAGTTGCAACCTTGAAACTAATATTAATAATGATTTCGCTGTCGCGCAATAGGCGCACAATCAATTTACTTGGCCTAAATCTAATATCAAAGTTGAGTCTTCATCCCTTTTGTTTAATGCCATGCTTAAACGTGCATACCCTTTGTACACTGACTTCCATGTAGGATAGTTGAATACGCGACACTTGCCACTATTGGCCATGAATGGACAATGTTTGTTTTGTTGGCCTGGTTGATCTGACTCTTCAATCAGCTGGCTGCTTCGATAAGCTGGCGCGTAGGCTTCTTGTCCGGAAGCATGAAAAACAACAACCAAGAATGTTGCAGGCGGATGCAGCCGATTGCGTGATACTCTTTCACAGTCCAACAGCTGGAAACAGGCTACCCATTCATAGAGAGACACAACTCTTTGCCACGCCCCCAGTGGGTGGGCAAAGGGTTTGATCTGTAGAGCACGTCCATAAGTAGTCAGTTCAGTCCAAATCCAGATCTAGCTCTAAGACTGCGATTTGCCGCGTCCCCGTGGACGTAGATATATAATCCTAGCACTTTACTGAAAGCTATTCAATATAGTAATCAGCATAATAGTAAAAAAAATGCCTGAAAAGTGTTTTCTATAAATCACATTTTTGTCCGATAATTTGCAATATCCCATAATGTCCTTGGTTATCATAAAAGATATATTTATATATATATATAATATATAAAGACACTAGCTAGGATGTTTGTATGTATTCAAATAAAAAAGATTGACAAGACAATTCATTGTCCTGATCGCAGCGGACAATACCCTATGAATTCGTGACAGAACTACAAAACGCTACGCAAAGGTATTCACGCATAGAAAAAGGTTTCCCAATTTCCGGCATACGTCTTGGGAAATTCTTTCGGCGTGACACACACCGCATAGAGCGGAGGAAATGAAAATATTTTAAAATTTGCATTTCATAATAAAGCAAAGGCTACGAGAGATTGCAGCAAAACGATAACATGGTTAAAAGGAGAATGACCTTATAAAAAACGAAAGTAAAAAATATGGTTCACATGAGATTATAAAACTAATTTATTTCTCAGTTTTGAACTTAATATTGTTGATCAATTAAAGACGGAGTTCTTGTTTTTTTAATTATAGAACTCAAATATTAATACGCACTTTATGTAATTGGAACAAGTTCGATAAATGTGAAGTAATATATTAAAAGCATTGTATAAAAAAGAAAGTAATTTAGATATGTTTCGCTTCGATCGAAACATTTGCCAAAGCGGAAATTTAATTATGTTTTTATAAATGGATTCGATATCTCAACGATAATTTAATTATGTTGAAGAGAAATACAAAATTAAAAGGCGAATCTTTTAATTAAAGTTCCCCATATCAAGCTGTAGTCCTTACATATTGTGTGGTCTATATATGTATGTATGTATGTGTGTATATAACTGCCTGTGCGTGCAGATACATGCACATAGCATGTACATATGTACATATGTACATACATTGGCATGCATAGCTATGAAAATTCTTATTATAGGTCAGTGAGCGCGTTTCATTTTCATTTTCATTTGCTGCTGCGGCTGCTGCTGCTGCTGCTGCGGCTGTTGTTCGCCGATAATGGCACGCAAAACAAAAACAAAGCATGCAAACGCTGATAGCGAGCAGCTCAAGGCAGTTTATCAGCTAAGCAGCAGCCGCAGCAGCAGCAGCTACAATAATAACACCAATGCGTTGCAATTCATTCATGAAAATGCAACAATATGCAAAATGGCCCCCCACAAGCTGCAAGCATTTGAAAGCTCGCGCAAGCCGAAGAATGCCACACATAAAAAAAAATGACAAAAACCAGAAATGGAATACCACAAGAGACGAGCGATAGGGTGCGTGAGTGTATTGGCGTGTACGTGTGTGTGTGTGTGTGTGTGTGTTGTATGCGCTTGCAGGTTGTTTAAAAATAGCTTTAGCTCTTAAAGTCAGCAGCGTCACAGTACCTAACGGTAAGAGAAGTTTGCCTAAACGTATTAAAAGCTTAGTTTTACAGCGTAGCCAATTACAATAACATAAATATTTATGTATGTATGTACATACATGCAAGCGTTTTTTTTTTGTGTACACACTGGTGATGCCTGCACAAAACACATGCGCACGCGTAGAAGTGTTTATTTATGTAATCAGCGAGACAAAAACAACAATCATATGTGCGCTACTATCAATGCGCCAGCCTTTTTTTCTTATTATTATTTGTTTCTTTTCTTTGCCATTAAGCAAACAAATGCTGATTGATATGACAGCAGTTTTCTGTTTGTTGTTGTTGTTGTATGTTGCTCGCTCACCTGCGTGATTCATGGGTGGCTGCAGGAAGCAGCAAATTTAAAAATCAGTCAGTTAACAGGGCGCTGTTAGCATGAGTCAAGGCTATTAGCTGCTACGACAACTGTTAAATGCAAGGCAATATCTGTTTTCGCAATATTTTTATATATAAACGAAAGGTAAATGTGTGTGCGTGCATATATGTATGTATGTGAATACATACATAGAAAAATTGGCGCTGCGCAGCCGCCGGCGCCGCTTATCACTAATCGTGCGGTATTTAGTCATGCGTTACGGCGGTAACAACAGCAGCAACAGCAGCGCATGCCAATGTCATCTATGACTACGTTGCCTGCGTACAGATTACAAATTAAGCACGTTTTAATTAATAAGTCAATGCGTTTGCATTGTATTGTCGTTAACCGATCGCTGCTGTCGTAGTCGTTATTGCTGCTGCGGCTGCTGCTGCTGCGGTTTTACCCGTTCTGCCAGACACATTGCGGCGCGGTGCGTCATGCCGCTCCCGTTGCCAGGTAAGGTCTCAGGCGTCTCAGCCATCTTTGCCAGCAAAGCTTTCCCATTGCGCACGAGTGCCAATTTCAATTTCCAGCAATGCCACCCCAACAAACAGCAAACAACATACAACAACAACAAGCAGCAGCAGCAGCAGCAATAACAATAACAGAAAAACAAAAGGGCCATATACAACAGAGAGACAGATAACAGAAGCGTCTGCGCGCCGCGCACGCAAAAAGGCAAATCAATTACAATTATAGAGTGCTATAGTGTGAGGGGTATTCGCCAGCAGATGCCCTGTACAAAGCTCGGGCAAGAATTAAAATATTCTAGATCTTTGGGTACCTAACTCTTTATCAAAATCGATATCTCTATATATAAAGTATGAGAATGGAAAACAATATCGCCAATAAATAGGCTCGTTCTGCGTATAAAATACACGATTATATGCATACATATATCATATAGCAATATTCTAGCTCCTTATGAAGATTTAGCTTAATCGACTTAGCTCGGCAGCCTGTTCAAGAATATATAACTACACAACTTAATGGATGCTTTACCTCTACCGGCTGCATAAATTTGCACAAGCCGAGTATACCTTTTCTTAAGTCATTTTAAACGGGAAAAGGGTATAAAAAATAAGTAAAAGTGCTTTGGTCAGAGATTCTCGTCCAGGATATACCCTGCATTTAGCTGTTGCAAGTGCAATATAACATATATAGAATATAAATATATATGTATGTATATAATTAAATTTAAAGCTAATATGTATATATTTTTAAGGATGGGCTATGATCGCCTTTTGTCAAATAGCCCTTGCACATTTTGTAGCATAATAAGTGAAGTTTATTGTAAGATACCCCTTGTTAATATATGAAAAGGGAAGATATTCGTGGCTGGAGCATGTTTAGTATGCTTAATAACTACATGTCTGCACCAGCTCTGAGGTAGAGGGCTAGTCTTGCGGGCGACTGGGGCAATTTTACAAGATAAATTATGGATTTGATGGGCCCCAAGCGGCTTGGTAGATTGAATCGTTGAGTTCACAGCTCGGTGGTCGAGGGCAAAAACCCAGGAAAACAAAATTGAGAGCGTGGAGGGAATAAGATTTCATATTGATAAAAACTCAGTATTGTGAATAATCTATTCGATAAGATTTGCGCACTTTTTTTTTTTGTTAAGTATTCAGTACGAAATCCCATTAAAACTAGAAGCATGTGTAAACAGATTATAGCTATGATGATTTATAAATCCAATTGAACCTGTCCCGGCTCAAACACTTAAATTCCAGTTTAAGCGGTTTTTTTTTTCAAAACGATAATAGTTGTTTACTTAAAGATGCGTTTATGAAATTGAATTTGCAGCAGAATTGTATAAAGTTTAGATATATTTATTGGATTATTTTATTTTAGATTATTTATATTATTTTAAAGGATAGATACGAATTCTTTTCAGTTTGATGATATTAAATTATAGTTTACTTATATTTTATTTTGGATTATTTATATTTTAAATGATGGATAAGGATTCTCTTAAGTTTGATGATATTGAATTATAGTTTATTGATAGATTGAAGGCTTGTTTCTTCTCAGCTATAGATTTATCAATTGTTGCCCCAGTAATGCAATTAATCTAATTTTGGTTGGCTAATTCAATTTGCACATTACACACGCTTGATTCAAGTATTTGTTTAAACTCCGTTGATTGTAAAACACGTTGGAATATGCGTTAAGTCAAGCGCAACGATTTACACGGGGTTTTTTTATTGTTTTTTTTTTTAATTTATTTTTAATTTGTGTGGTTTTTTTGTTTTACTTCAACAACATTAAGAACCAAATTACAAATTACAATTCGCTCTGATGACTGATCAACTGTTGTTCTGGTTTAAGTTATTTAAAGCGACAATATCAACAATAACAATAGCAACAAAAGCTTTAGGCCCAAATAGCAAAACAATTCACAAACAAAAACAAATGTTAAATTAAAGCAACAAAAAAAAAAAATACAAAAACAATAACAAAAAGTTGTCGACTGAGGGTCGCGTTCGGTGATCGCCACAGTTTTATTTCGTTTTTTTTTTTAATTTTTTTGGTAGTTAAGTTAAATCTGTTTTGTTTTTGCATATGCACTTACGCGAAATCTCGGCTCTCGGCTCTCTCGTTAGCACAAATCTAATGTGAAACACGAGTTTAATTTTATCTTTTTTTTTTTTGCAGAATGCACGTACAAAAACAAAAACAAGAATTGTTAACTGTTCGGCGTCGACAGCGACAACAACGTGACAATCCAAACACAAGCACGATTCGTTCAAAACTGTCGCCTGTGTGGGCCAACAGCAAGACTTTTAATGACAATAACGTTTAATTCGCTGCCGCCGCTGTTGCGCTCCGACGCTCTCAGTTCGTAACGGACGCGCTCCCAGCCGCTCGCGCACGGCTGCTGCGATCACAACGTTTTTATTTTTTTCTTTTCCTACTCTTACAGTAACTGTTAAGGCAGGCGGCGGCTGACTGCTGTGTGCAAATGCTTGGGGGTGCAGCAGGTGCGCTGTTAATTAACAGAGCATATGTAGGCGCTTTTAAGCGCCAGCCAAAGGTTTTAAAAGTCAAACAACTTTTCACAGATGTCAAATATTTGTGTGTGTGTGTGTGTGTACGTACACAAATATATAGAATTTATGTGCAATTTGTAACACGCATTTACAATGCGCTGCTAAGCTGATGCATTTACTTCATATTTACAAAGGCACAATTTAAATAAGATATACATAGTCATTTTAAGTTCAGATTTTACCATTTTATATATATACACTTATATTATATGTATTTTACTAAAACACGATCGATTTGTATGGTGATAATCACAAAGTGGACAAAGATTATATAATTGAATAACCTGATATATGTATATATCATATCGTTTCAACCTGTTGGCCGAATATGAGAGATCTTATAAAGTACACATATCAACAGCCAGGCCATGTCTATTTTATACTCAATTTTACATGCATGCATGTGAGATCACCTTTCTATGCGATTCGACTTTTTGTAAAACACTCCTCCATTTTCAAAAAATTTTGTCGACCAGCCCGCGCAATTTTCAAGAAACTCGTATTTTCTTCCGTTTGAAAGTCGGGTTACCATTTAAAGCTGTTAATTACTATCGAAAGGGTATTGTGTCGTCAGTTGTGGATGTCTTTATCAATGTATGCGAATATTAAGCCCTGAGTACCGGGTAACATTAAGTTGACTTGATTCTGCCAGAGCATTATCCAATTTTCCTATTGACAAATATGAACTAGAAAAATGTAGAACTTACCTCTTTATAAGTTTGAAGAATGTTTAAGCTCAATGTGGCGCGTGAGATCGATGGATCGAAAGAACTGCGTGTTGCATAGATTGCAGATGTGTTTTATATGTCCCCGCTCGGACAACATGTGCTCGGTAAGATGACTAATTTGGGCAAAGGACTTGCCGCACTCGGGACAGACGTGCGCCCGTTCCAGGTGCTTGCTCCTCATGTGCTTCAGCAAATGATCGGCGGTGGTGAAATCCGCTTGGCACACGGTACAAATGTGGGCGCGCAATAGCACATGCTGGCGCTGCAAGTGTGCTCGGATGGCCTCCCGATTTTTGTGCGATTTGCCACAGAAAATGCAGTCAAGTGGATTGCGATTGTGCGATTTCTCAATGTGCTTGAGCAGACTGATGCTGCCGGTGTATCCATTGGCACAAAGTGGACAAACATAGGCGCTGGGCTTGGGCTTTGGATCGGCAATGCACGACTCCTTATCTAAATCCATAGGCCAACCAAATGTTAGATCATCGTCCCAATCAACAGTAGGCAGCAGCTCGTCAATGTTCTCCTCAAGCATTTCCAGATCCTCAGTCTCATCGACAACGCTGCCATCGCCTTGCAGACTATGGTCGCTTTCGGCATGGGCAATCAGGTCGCTCATGCAGCTAAACGCCTTCGCGTCGTTACAGTTGTCCGCGCACATGGCGCAGTAGAAGAGCGAGTGTTCGCCATGCCATGAAACCACATGCTTGTACAGGAATATTGATGAGCTGTAGCGCTTGCCAAATGTGCCACACTGCAGGCACATATAGCGGCCGTCCATGTGTTTGCGTTGGATGTGCCGCTGACGCAGCTGCTCATCGCCATACAATGTGAGGCAATATTTGCATATGTGCAGTCGGGCGATCCGCGTATCGCACAGCTGCTCATGTGCCTTGCAGACGAGAAACCGAGGAAAGGCAACCAAACAGGAGCGACAATAATAGAGGCGTCCAGTTTCAGGCTTCCTGCTGTTTGTTGCGTTTGCAACCAGTCTACCTTTATTTTTTATCTTCGAGTTTTTAGGTAAAATGCACTTCGGTTCCATGGCGCGCTTTTGTTTTTTGTTTTAGCCAGCGGCCGAATTAAAAACCAAGATTGTTTTGATCATATCGATAAATCGATATTCACCGTATCTATTCACTGAATGCTGAACATTTCAACACATTTTGCATTTATCAAATATGTACAAATTAATCAGAAAAGCTTTAAAATGAGAATATTAGTGTTAAGCAAACAACGTTATCATGTGTAGGGTGTTAAGTAACCCAATGTTATAAAATATTACAAATAAACCAACCGATGTACTATCGATATAAAACTCAATTTTTTGAATTGCAATTTAGCGCTTCTCATCAGACACCTAGGAATTATACAAAAAAAAAACGATTAAGTTCTTGATATAAGAATTTTACATAAGTGTATTGTATTTCTTTAAATGCAATACGCAGTTAATTGTAGAAAATTTGCGCTTGCCTGTTAAAAGCAGATGCAGAACGATAAATATTTTGCAAAAGCAATCGATATATACGGCACATAGGGACAATCAGTTGTTAAATGACATCACTAGCATGCATTGGCAGCACTTGCATTCGCAATTATCGTGCAATCGTATCGATAGGCATTGATGCACCCATATTTTGTACATCCCTACACTGTTGCATTTGCATAGCCAAAAAAAATGCCAACCTAAATAGTTGACTTTGCGTTTATTGTATTTCGATTTCGATAAAGGCGAATACATATTGTGATTCCAATACCCGTATCCCCCTCCCTCCTACAGCAAAGAAAACGACTCGAGATGAGCGACGCATGCGAACGGGAGCAGCGCAGCGAAAAGTGCGCCTCGCCGAAAACTGCATCAGCCTCGGCGTCGATGACGTTGGCGTCAACAGCCTTGGAATCGCAGTCACACAACACAGCAGGACAACAGCAGCAGCAAGAAATATCATCCATGGCCAGTGGCAGTACACCATCATCAACAGCGCCAGCTGCTGGACGACAACAACAGCAGCAACTGCTGCGTCCTAACGAGAGCGACATACGAGAGCTGCGCGAGATTATACACTTGCTGTGGGGCGACAGTGTGCGCGAAGATGTATTCAAGCGTTGGTCTCAAGGTAAGTCGATGTGTTGCACCACCCGAAACGACAGCGCCCCCAAACAGCGCGCGCTTTTCGTGTGTGTGCGTGCGTAGGTGTGCATTTATGTGTGTGTGTATCTCTATACAATTATAAATGCATTTGCAGGCTTTGAGTTTAGTGATGTGGAGCCCTCGGCTTTGGTGCAAAAACAGGGCGGTCCTTGTGCTGTGATAGCGCCCGTGCAGGCGTACTTGCTTAAGATAATTATCATGGACATGCCAGGCATACAATTAACAAAGGTAAGTTCAGCCCACACATCCGCCCACGCACCCGCCCACACGACACTGCCCCTGGCAATAGTAAAACGATTTATTCTCATTACCAGCTGCCCAGTGACAAATGTCAGAGTTTGCTCATCGAAGCTTTGTGCAACATATTGAAGAATTGCCGAGCGCCGCGTTATAAAATTGTCACACTGCAACGGCGATCAACCAAAGAGCGTCGCCTGACGCCGCCCACTGATGCAATTGAAGCGGCTGTTGAGGCGGAGGAGACAATTGGAATTGATGCGGCTGTTAATGCCGCTTCTGCTGCTACTGTCGCAACCAAAAAAGATGCAGCATTGGTCACCACACGTTTGAATTTGGAACTGACACCAGATCAATTCCATGAGCGCCTGCATACGCTCCACTTTGAGCACATTGCCGAGGTGGCTCGCTACTATGTGGAAAACTATAGTCAGCTATCGAATACGTACGGTGTGCTATTGTTTATGTATTCGGTATTCCTAACCAAGGGCACCGAGCAGGTGACATCTGATATATCGGACACATCGGAGCCGCTTATACACAGCACATATGGCTATGGGGCACAATCGTTGATCAATCTGATGCTAACTGGACGCGCCGTTGCCCATGTCTGGGACAATGAGCAGGATGTGGGCGGTCTAAAGCTGCGAGGCATTTGTGAGCAGAGCGATATTGGATTTATAACACTTATGGAGCAGATGCGCTACTGTACAGTGGGCTCGTTTTTTAAGAATCCACGCTACCCAGTATGGGTAATGGGCTCTGACACGCATTTAACTGGTACGTAATACTAGTTGTCCGTATATCATATGTATTAACATTCCATTTTGTGCTACAGTTTTGTTTAGCAATGAAAAGAGGCTCGTCTCGCCAGAGACACCATCGGAGACGGGACGTCGGATCTTTAAGTCTTACGATCCGGAGGGCAACAATTTCATATCGAGCACCTTGCTCCGTGATGTGCTAGCCGCATTGAATCTGGTCAGCGAGCCGGGATAGTAAGTTGCTCCTGACCTCTGCTGCTAGACGAGTGCCTAATTTCTTCATCTCATCCCCTTACACCAAACATAGTGTTAGTCTCATGCAAAAGCGTTTGGATCCAGAGAATCTCGGCATCATACTTTTGAATGCCTTCATGGATGAATTCTTTCCGCTGGAGCGCCGCTCAACGCCGGATACGTTCGAGCTGCTGCACTACAATGGCATACCCGGCTCCAATGATAACAACAAGGTGAGCATTCAGCTTGCTAAAGTGCTCCAATTATCAATTTATGTGACTCACTGAAGGCATCCCTTTAATCCCTTATTATAATCTAAAACAGGAGCATGAGTTGAGTTGTCCGTCTTTTATTAGTCTCTCAGTTTCGAGGCTGCCTTGAAGAACATTGGCATAGATTTCTTCGTGGACTGCAGTCAGCACATATGCTGGATTGCAGCACTAATCATTAAGCTGAATTCGATTTCTGTAAGGTGTCTCCACCAAAATTACTTGTATTTTTATGCTGCCAACATGTTGTTGGCAAAAACCTATCGTATATTTTGAACTGTACTGTTCGCACCTTCCTTAAGGGCTTTCCGATTTCTATAGTATTATATTTGCTGTTTTTTTTTTAATGTATGAATATTGGTTGGTACGAAAGATAATTAGGCAAATTCAGAATTGAGTCCAGCTTATCTCTTTATCGAACACTGCACTTGATTATTCTTACATGTTATACCCTTATAATACCCTTATAATGGTTATTAAACTTTTGCCACGAAGCACACATTTTCGACCCAACTTAGTCATATAGTCTAATCCGCCTGTCTGTTTCTATGCAAACAAGTCTCAATTGTTTTGAGATTTCGCATAGACCCGTGCTGCAGTTGCAACATCAATCATCAATCAACATTGGACCACTATATCATATAGTTGACGTAGGATCATATTCTGCTTTCTTAACCAGTTCTATCAGCTCCGGACTATATCATATAGCTCTATAGCAAGAATCGATCCGAAAACTGAGATTTTCTTTGTCAATATCTTGTATGTGGCACTTTTTTGTTTATTAAGATATTTTAACCAAACTCGCCATTTATTCGTTAAACTATGCTGCGTACATATGAGTCAGATCCGATCAATATCGAACTACTTAAGTATATAGCACTATAGTAAGATATTTTTTCTGTTCATTTAACTAAGCATTGACGATCTAACCTTTCTCACACTGTGTTCACAAGGGTATTAAATCTTCGGCGTGCCGAAGTTATCCTTACTTTCTCGATTTTATTTGCCCTAGCATTTCTTTTTAATGGGAGTGTCTTCTATTTTCACACAGGTGCGCTACTACTGTGGCTCGGCCATTTTGCTGGAGGGCGATCTCAAGTCGATTTGCACCTCCAATCCGATGGTCACCTGCCTGCAGACCAAGTGGCCCAACATTGAGATCAATTGGCATGATGCATACATGCCCTCATTGAATTGATGTCCTTATTAAAAAGATGAAAGATGTTAAAGCGAAGGCAAAGGCAACCGCAACAAAATAACAACAACAACAACAAACACAAAACAACAACAACAACTAGAGAGCAAAAGTAGCAGCAAAAAAAAAATTATGCCATGCACATCTTTATTTCAAACACCTTTCAATTGTTTATTGATAATTTATTGAAAAACGTTTAAAAAACAACCAAAAAAAATGCAAACAAACAAATATGAAAAAAATGCAACATAAAAAAGAAGAGAGAAGAAAACTAACACAACTGACACACACGGCTACACTTGATTACACACACACACATACACATACACATACACACACAAACACACACGACAGGCACACACTTGCATGCATAGAGGGTATGCAGAAATTTGAATTTTGCAACAATAATGATCTAAACATGAGAGCATCATTATGCATAAAAACATATTGAAATGTAATTATTGTTTGCCATTGTAATTATAAGACCCAGGAAATTATTATACATATTATAACCCAATAAGACACAGCCCGAAAATGAAATAACTACAAAATTAGCGAAGAAAACACACACACACACACAGACACATGCACCCACACACACACTCACACACATTAAGAACAAAAATTTTTGTTTATGGCCTTTTAACAAATTAATTGTAGTGTTTAAAACAATTTAATAAAATTAAAAACCAACTAAATGCGTAAACATTAAGTGCAAACCGCAATACTGCCATTAGCTGCCAGCCAGAGTGAAATGGCGCGACGATATAGAGCACGCCACAGTTCACTTAAGCCCCACGCAAATGAAATAACAGTTATTTTCGGCACGGCGAATATCAGATACCCTTGCAGAGACATATGGCTTATGTTTAAGCCGTCTTCAGGAGCTGCAATATTTGCTAGTTGACTATAGACACTATTTTGCTCATATGTTAGGAGCACAGAGAAGCACGTTGTATATCTTGTTTCGGATCTATGCAACGTTCCATGACAACTGAGGGCCTGGCTGTTGATTTCTCCCAAGAGTATATCTACTTTTTGGGATCGTAGATGCGTTAAACATTTCATGACAATATTTAAAAGCCATTGGCGAAGGTAAATGAACATTTGATAGACCAGATCTCAACTTCTTCATTAGCTTAACAAAATTCATATTTTAACTACTTGCATAGAAATAAACTAATCAACTGCCTAATACTGCGAGGAGCTTCGATGGAGTAACGATTGACGGGGAATGTTCAACATCGGTTAACATCAACATCAACTCCGGGCATGACTTGTTAACTATTTTTATGTTTTTAGCGTAAACTAGATGTGTCATAAATTTAGTGGTTCAAACCTTTGTCACAAATTTTGTTAGATTTCAGTTTTAAATTCAGTTCCTATTAAACAATCAAATGCAATAACCGGGCTAATTTTGATATCTACCCAAATTGGATATCTCATAAATAGGATTAGATAATTACAGATGTTAAGACCATAGTTATTTATGCCTTAAGAGTCTACCTTCCGTTTATTTTAAAGAAAAATATGCTTTGGCTCGGTTGTCTTTTGTGGACAACTGCTTTGGTTTAAGGTACGGTTCGTAGCAAAAAATGTATTGAAATTCTTGGTTCGAACAAGTCAGGCATAAAGTCGGTTTGCTGCTTTGCCCCGCCCAACACGAATTCGAATCAAAGAAAATGTTGAAGAATTTCAGAATACGATCGTTATTGATGGACACTCTCAGATGGAAATAAAATACATTTGATTTTGTTGTTATATGTAAAAATGAGTAAGTGCGCAAAAGCTATGATTCACGATTAAGGTATATATATATAGTATATGTATATATATGTATATATATATATCATTGTTATTAATTTTTCACATAATCTTTAAACGCAGTTTACATTTTATTGCAAGTTTTTTGTTCTTTTTCATGATTATATATAATTAAATTTGGTTTTCTTTTTTTGAGAAAAATATTTCAAAGTTGTGTGTATTTTAACCTTCTTATACATAAACTAGATAAAAGTAATTTAATACGCAGTATTCAAGCAGTGATTCAGTTTGAAAAAGCGTATTTCATTATCCTAGTTTTCAAATGTTTGCTTTTTATTTTCTTCAGAAGTTTCGCAGATGAGTATCGCAGCCATTTACCATCTGGCGACATCTGCCCTTTATGGAGTGTCGCTTACTTCTCCTCGCACCATTCGTTCTCCTTGCGCACCTGCTCCTCCTCGGCAGGAGTAAAATCTTTCTTGATGTTGAACGTCTTTCGGATGTCCTCGGGTGTTTTCCCCTTGATCATATTGGCAACCGTCTTGCAGGTTAGCTCCAGCAAGCCCTTAATATCCAAGTAATTGGCCGCCAATATCAGTTCGAAAAGCGTGCCTTGGTCAACTTTCAGAAAATCGGCATCCCATGATGTGATGTCATCGGTGCGCTTCTCCTTGCTCTCATCATCCTCGGTAGGCTGTGGATCATCCTTGTGATAGTTGGCCCAGGTCAACACTTTTCTCAAAATTGTCGAATTCACATTTGGTAATGGCACAATGGCATTCTCATCATCCTCCATGCCGCAATCCTCCAGCATGGTGCGAATTGTACCGGAGCACTTGGCAATTTGTATATCGGTATCGAAAATTTCCTCATCAGATGACTGCAACTTTATATTCGGCATCTTGATCTGCAAATAATGCAAAAAAAAAAAAAGAAGCGAAATTAGTTCAAATTCGTGTAAAGAAAAATGCTTGGCGGCATTCACCCATGCATTTACATACATGTACATTTGTATATACAGACAAACATACATATGTGTGCGTGCATGTGCTCTCGCTGTAAATACAAGCAACTGCCGATTACACAAAGCCCTGCACATACAATAAATTTGTATAGAAATTAACAAGAAACCAGTCAACACACGTGTATTTAAACGGTTAAACATTGCAACTTCGTGAATTTCGAAAAAAGCATAACGCATATTTAATTTCCTTTATGACGCTGACTACTTACCACAATGACAAATAAAATGTTAAATTTGAACAAATTTGGAAAAAGTGTGGGGTTGGTTTTTAAACAAGCTGTATTTAATTTGAATATAAGGCGTCTTCCCTACGAAGAAACACGGAAGAAACTTGACTTTAAGAAATATAAATTAAAATTTACTATATTGAGAAAGATACACGTCCGAAAGTACTTTGCGTTGTGCGACTCGTTTGTAATCGATAAGTGTACTATAGTCAGGGGTGCAAAACCATGTAATTGATTCGTTTCGTTTTGAATTATATATATCGCTTTTACGTCCGAGCAGAAATAGTGTGAATTTTGTTTGATTTATATTTTCAAAAAAATTGACTCAAACATGCTAAAATTAGTTAGCACAGCTAAAACAAGCAAAATTCAAGTGAAAACTCGAAGCTGTTGCGATCAAATTAGTTTAGTTGACATAAAATAGTAATAAATATGCTTTCTGAAATATCTTTTTTTTTAGTTTGGTATAACATCATACACAGTTCGTAATATTTTTACTTAATTATTTAATGGATAATAGAGTGATATGAGTTTTTAGCACGCTTATCGATACTTAACCATCGCCATTTGCTAGACTGGTCACACTTAAATTATCGCCAAAAACGACTGGAATTTAATTTCTACCAGATGACTGTTGACTAACAGAATTTCATTTCGTTTCAAACTGATTCCAGAAACGTTATTGATACTGTTAATTAACATCTTAGTTTTTGTCAACACTGCGTTGTCCCTTGGCCCACATAAAGTGATTATTTTTTTAAATCGGGATTGCGAACGCATTTGCTGGCAATGCGGTATATTTTATTGGCACTCAATAATATATAGAAATAAATATTATTCAACAATAACCACGCGCTAATAAAAAGAAATTGGGTGCGCGTGTGTCAACATTTTCTTTTTTTTTTGCATTTGCATACATTAATTGTAGCTGTTGCTAGTTTCTTAAAGTTGAACGCAGGGCAACAACAACGGCGACTACAAAGTGCAAAAGCAAAAGTAAATCAAAATCAACAGGTAAATATACCGACCAGATCAAATATACATATGTACATGCAAACATATTAGTGTACAATTAACTACATGTATACATATTGTATTATGTAGATTTGTGCGTGTGTGTGTGCAGTCACTTATCTACATGAAATGAATACATATATACACATATATTTATATATATGTTTATATTGAATTTATATATGCATATGTGTGAGTATGTAAATATATTGTGCCGACTGTCTGGGCATCACAGTTATTAAAAATGTCTGTCTGCATAGCAAAACAACAATAACATAACGCCGGCAGTGACAGCGACTGCCACAGTCAATTGCAAGCAATTTAATTGCGCTTCAAAATTAAAATGCCATAGGCAAAGGTGTAAAATGGCAAAGAATTTCTCTCCCTTCTGCTAATCACATTTTCCCAGCCCGGCATCGCTTACCGCTTACCGCTTACTGCTTACCGCTTCACCAACACCACCCAAATCCCCAATGCCAGTGCGAAGGTCAGCTATGGGCGGGTAACACTGCACTTGCCGCTCAATTATTGATTTGCTTAGGGAGTAGCAACAACAATAACAGCTGTCCAACATCAATATTTGTTATACCGTGCAAGCTGTAAGCACAGTGCTGTAAAATTTATGAAAGGTGTGGAAACATTTTTAACTAATACTTATTATTTTCAATTGTACACATTCGGTTAATAACTTGAGCGTTTGCTTAGGTAGCACATTTAAGATCACAACCACTTTTTTTGTTAGGTAATTGAAATTGTTAGCGTATTTGAATTGAACTTTTACAGAGTATGCGCATAGCCGGGCAATCAAAATGCTGACCCTTGAACTGTTATTTGGTCGATGGTGTCGCGTTTGTTGTTGCTGTTGCTCTGCTGCTCCTGTTGCTTCCTCACTTAACGCATGCCTAATGGATGAGGTCATTGCGTAGCTGAACTGGCAAATTTGCATGCTACTTGCAGGTTTCAGGTTCTATTCTTGGCTCTGGGCGACAGTTTTCGATTGCCGCCTCCATGTTATTACTTAACTGTAACACTCGCTCGCTCTCTCTAGCTCTCTCTCCCTCTCTAGCCCGCCGTGTGTCTCACCTGTTTATTGTTTTGTTTTCCCTTATATGACTCTTTCAACATTGATCTAAGCGATAAGGTTTATCACAGTAGTACGCGTACTTAAGTAATTACTCGGTCACAATGTGATTCAAGTGTGTGTGACGGCAGCACAAATACGCACACCTGCATACAAATGCGTGTATTAAATGATAGGTAAAGACTTATCAATTCAACTACTCTTTCACTCTTAAGCCGCTGGGCTGATCCATCAATCAGGCAGACAACTCCCCAACTGCCGTCACATGACCCTAAATGACGTAGTATCTAAATGCCACTTGAATTGTTTCTGTTCATTTTTCACATCAGATCTCGCCCTCTCTATATATGTAGCTAGGTATATATACTAAAGTAAATGATGTCTATAATACATATTTGTATATATATTAATCTATGCGTACTTCTATCAAAATTCGTCGTGCCAGCATTGAAAACGTGCCTTCCGCTTATCTCTGACCATTTTTTTTTTTTTGCATAATGGACTATACTGATAAAACATATGAAAACTCTAGTATTGTGTGTATAGATAAATAATTGCATTCTGCTTATTAAGCCATTAACTGTGTAAGTTCAATTAGATAAGAAAGTTGTTGAAGGATGTGTGTGCATTAGTCAAGTCATGGTCCAGGTATGTTTTGTATTTATCTTAATCGTTGATTTACACCTGATTTTAAATGCGATATCTTTTAGGTCTTTCATAAATACAACAGAATGGAATGAAATTAATGAAATTAATTTATTAACCAACAGCAGCAGATATTCAATGATTAGAGTGCACTGATAAGATCAGGAGAACCTTCTAGAAATAGTACAAAAAACCAAATTAAAATCGTGTCATGGTTTCAAGCTAAAAAGGCAACAGCACAAAATTTGGATTTAATTGCACACATCAAATTACGAATATATGACAAGGTATAAACATTTGGAAACATCTGGAACTAGCGACTTATTAAATAGATAAACTAATTTCATATAAATAGTTGCAGAATCAATATCTAGGTACATATGCGATTGGATTAATTGGACAAACAACATATGAAACGAAGCACGTGTACTACATATATGATATGTATATATATACATATATCAGATATAGGATTGATATGTCTTCAACTTTTTCGCTGCAAATGACGCATGTCGCGAGACAGGCAAAGTTCTATAAACTGGCTGCATTTGCTCTAGATATGATAAGATATCAGAAATGTATACGTAGAAACAAATCACAAGATATTTGGTATAGGGCAATTGGGGAACGAACAATTCGATATGCCAAGCTAATGTTGGCGATTATATACATATACATTTTACGGGTAGTTACTTGGCCGATTGATTCGCAGTGGCTAGACGAAACAATTACCGCTGGTTTCTCGACCTCTCCGCGGCTTATCAGTAAATGCCTTTGATATGAGCACATGCCATAAACATATACCCAACACATAAGTTCTGAGTATCTGTCGTAAATTCACAGTCTGCTGTGAGTTGCACAAGGCAAAATAGCCATACCCCACCTGCCACCTGCCACCTGCCACCTGCCTGTGGCTCTCTAATCCCGGAATCGCTGCCATTAGCGTTGACTTCTAAATGCGTCTGAGTGGGTATTTAGGGTATTGTATAAATGTCAATTAAAATCATATTTGGCTTTATGAATGCTTAGCACAAGCTAATCGTATCAAAAACTATTTTTTTTTCTTCTATAAATATCTACGGTAAACGTTTTACAAGCACTCGTTTAATCTGTTTGAAGAATTCTTTATGGCCAGGCTCTTATGTTTCGCCATTAGCACTTGTTAATTAGCCGACAGCGTTTGTTAATTGTCGCATAATGAGAAAACTTCAAGAGCTAAAAAGCAATAAAAATAAGGCAACAATAAATTAAATCTTAGCAATCGCAAGGCACGTTCCGGCTTATAGCAGACCTTCTCGCCCGATGTGCATTTTCCTTCACCCAGTTGACGTATCAATTATTAAGACTTTTCAATAATTTACAAGAAAAACATGACGAAATTTGATCATTTTCTGATATCATCATCAACTCATATAATTTTAACGTGTTTCAAGCTAATCTAAATTGTCAATATGTGTTATCTGGCCTATATGTTTTTTATAAAAGTACTTAACGATCTTTCCTAAAACAATTGCATGACATAGTTTATATTCATACCAAAAAAATGGTTAAAGTACTTTCAAATAAAGCTACAACCCGTAGAATGTATTTATGTATTGTGGCTTTGAAATCAAACGAAATTTAAAATTAAGATTAAATTTGACCTCTTATATAGTATACAATATTGTGTGAATTTGAGATGAAAGTTAGTATCTACAATTTTAATCTACAGTTGTATATATTTAGTCAGCTTCAACTCGGATTGAAATGCAGTCATTTGATAATAAACCTAAAAAGCAAAACATTCGATTTGTCATAAATCTATGACTTCGTCTACCAAACGCACTGAACCACTGATCGGAAAATGGGTGGAAGGCTTTCATATATATCTTACAGCACGTATCATACCGATTATGCGTGGATCTGAGTGTGAAATGGAATCAAAAATTGTATCTCGAATATTGTATCTTTATCCCAACGACATTAAATTCATTTTCAATAGCTTAATTTTCTAGTATAAAGTATTCAAATTAAACAACCGATTACCAAGTGTATAAGGACAACTTGTCTAAATGATAAGATAAGTGAAAGTTTAGGTATATCTGTCGTTCCCATAGCCGTATCAATAAAATGGGGACACCATTAGGAAAATATTAGCTATAAAAGGTTACTTCAAGTGAGCTCTAAAGTTGTTGAACACGCAATTTAGAAAAGTCCAAGTTTGTTGGTGGCGCGTCTTGTGGCCTATCAATTGTCACCTATTAAATATGCAAGAACTCGCAATTAGCTAACGAATCAATAACGAGCTTCTGGGAAGACCCACAAACAACAACGAGGTGCAAACAAGCCAACCCCGCTGAATATTTAAAGCGGGCCGTGCAGAATGTCAGCCGGTTGCCCGATGCCGGATTACCTGTCGCCGTGTGGAGACAGTGAGATATCATTCATACAAACTACACTTTAATTTCTCAAATGGCTCATCAAATACGGATGTTAGGTGGGAGTGAGGGAGGGAGGGAGGGATGGGGTGCGGTTGCATTACAGGTGTCAATTACAATTGCAAATAGTTAAAAGAGCAGCTATTCCGACTCGGCCTCCGGCTCCGGCTCCGGCTCCTGGTCTCAGCTATTGAGCCCGTGAGCTGAGGTGGTCTGTTGCATGTTGTTCACTCACGGAAGCGCTGAAGCATTTAATTGATTTTATTGACCACTGCAAGTTGTCAGTTGTTCCAATTTGTAGCTTTCAATTACTAACTGACATTTGCATGTTGTTTTTATTGTTATTATTCATGTTGTTGTTGTCGTTGTCCATTTTCAGGCAGTTAAGGCCGGCGCGAAGAGCTAACTAAACGGACGGCCACGGGGCAGAGCCGTCGCACAACTTCCTTACACACGCCGGCGTCAAGGAGAACAGTCGCCATCACGACGTCGCCGCCGCAAGCGCCACCTCTGTCAGTCGAGCACTTGGACGACGCCAGCGCTGCCGATCGCGGGCGTGTCTACAAGCTGAGGAAGAAGAAATATTTGAACGCCGCGCACATAACATAGATTAGGAGCAGCAGGTCGGAGCAGCGCCAGCCGGACCAGTACACAGTATGCCAGTGCAATCGCCGATTGAGATTAGCAATCGTGCCATCGAGCATATTGACGATGTTGATCCGCTCGAGTATCATGGCCATTGGGAGCCGGTAGGTGTTGCGCGCGTCCAGAACACAGGCACTTCGGCGATGGTCACATTTAGCAAAAGGAAACAACAGCCGTACATTATTGGCGGCGCCCTCGACACCAATATGTATGTGTTCGAGCAGCTGCACTTTCACTGGTCGGATTCGGATGAGTCTGGTTGCGAGCACACGCTAGAGGGCATAAAGTACTCGATGGAGGCACATGCCGTTCACTATAATGCCAAGTATAAGGACTTTTCCGAGGCCAAAAACAAACCGGACGGACTCGCTGTTGTTGCTTTTTTCATTCAGGCCTGTGGAGACAAGGATTGCCCAGAGTTCAAGAAGATCACCGAAGGTATACGCATTGTGCAAAAGATCCATACAAGCGCATCCTTGGACTCGGGTGAGTGTTAACCCAATAAACACAATTTTATCCAGTTTAAAGTGTGTTTCTTTTTTCGTTATACAGACTGCCTGTCCTGGATCGGTCTGCAGGAGCTAAGTAAACACTATTACACATACAAGGGCTCGCTGACAACGGCGCCGTACTTTGAGAGTGTCACGTGGATAATCTACCGGACGCCCATTTATGTGTCGCGGGGTCAGGTACGTCACAGCCAAAGCAGCATCCATCACAATACAGCTTAAGTGTATAATATATTTCTGTTTTGATATGTAGGTAAGCGTGTTTCGCAACTTACAATCGTGTCCCAAAGATGAGTCCAAGAAAATAGTCAATAATTATCGTGAGATTCAGCGTCCGCACAAGGATCCAGAAATATTTTTCGCTCGCAATACAAATACAAAGTCCAAGTTATGATGTGCTTGCTAATGCCATGATGTGGTGCATCTACCAAAAAAAGAAGAAGAAGTCCTACTCCGAAAGACCTATAACAATAATATTTTCCGCACCCATAGGAATCTGTGCTGCACTGGATCTGTGCTGGTTGTGGTTATCCACTTGTTTTGCTTTAATCAATTGAATGTCAAATGTAAATCTTTATAATTCTATGGTTGTCAATAAGCTTTTGTTAGTTGCCCCGTGTACATAGCTATATATATACATAATATATATTCCTATATATAAATATAAATATATGTATGTAGACGTCAAGTTCGTAATATATGAATCATAGTCGGAACACGCGACTGCCTTGCATTGAATATTTCCCAGAAATGTTTATTAATATTAATAATAATAGCTTACAACCTTAACAAAGCTAATAAATATGTATGTATAATATTTTAAATAAGGCAAATCTATTTTGTATGCAAACCTGAACTTTGAAATTACTAATTTTATATATATAATATATATATATATATATATATATATATATATATATAATCAAATCAAGCATATATAATGTACATATGTTCTATATCGTGCGTTACTCAGCTATAAAATACGCTAGTAAAGCTTCTTTGTTTGCCCGCATGAGCCATCAAAGCCGTCATGCTTGGCGTAATCTTCATTCTAGTTTCAGAAGAAGCGGCACCAGTTCCTTGATAAACCACTCCTTTGATATGGCCAGATGATCGCCTTCGACGCTGAGAAACTGTAGCTTCCCACGTAGTTTCATTTCCTCCAACCCAATCTGTAAATGGAACAGCTATTTTAGCAAAATTTTGAATACTATGCGCATTTTGAATCTTACATTCTTAAAAACTTTGCTTTCGCTTAGCGGCAGTATGTGTTTGTCCTGACCAGGTGCATAGAATTCAAACCACTGCGACTCCTTAGGCTGCACAATGGTGTCGTTGAGGAATTTAACCATAACAAATCTGCAGTTCAAGAAGTTTGATTATGAGTACAAAATTAAAACAAGAGCCAAAAGTTCACCTTTTAAGCCTGTTAAGATTCTCTGCATAGCGTTCATTAATGTACAGCTCGTTGTTGATGTCTGCCAGAAAGCTGCTCTTCAGCCGATAGCTATTCTCATGCAGTGGATCGTGCCAGTAGGTAGCCTGCACCAGACCATTCTGGACCCTCCTACGCACAGTTAGCATATTCACATAATGAGAAATGGGAACTTATGCCAGTATGGCGCACTTACTCATCATAGGCAGCATAGTTTAGAAGCCTGGTAATATACTCGCAGCTGCTGACGCTTAGCGTGGGACACTTGGGCACTCCATAGACGCCCTGATGCTGGCCGCCTAAGCTGATGAGCACTCGCATTGGCGGCGTGGGACAACGCTGTGCCAGCGCTCGCCTATAGGAGGAGGTTTGCTATTTAAGTAACCTTTAACTTTAACAATAATACTTACAAAAATTGACCGCCCTGCGAGAAGCCAATGGCATTGTATCCATTGGCCAGCTTTTCGTCTCGTGCCAGCTGCTGACAGACGTAGTCGACCTGCTTGTTCGGATGTATAAAGAAGCCACTCTCATAATCCAAAACGATATTGGCGCCTATCTCCAAGGAACGCACGTAGGTGCCGTTCGTATGCTCCTCTATCAGCTTCTTAATGGAGCCCAGGCTGAAGGGAAAACAACAAGTGTCGCCCATGCCATGCCACAGTACCACGGGCAGAATATTGCCATTGTCATTGTTGTTGTCGTTGTTGCCGTCTGTTATATTGGCTTGACCAAAGTGCAAGCAGCTAATCAAATAAAGTGCAATGACCAGTAACCGCATTTTGCAATGCATTAATCAGCTTCAATTTATAAAAAATGCACCACCGGCCTATTTACGCTGTATACAAATATTGTGCTATTAACGGCGTTGCCGGATCTTACGCCAAACAGCTGTCTGAGATAAATAGCCTTGCCACCTTGTTATTGATGCCAACAGCTGATTGGCTTGAAAGATGGCGCGCAAAAGACGTTATTGATTTAAATTTTGTATTCTGTTACGCAAACTGCAATTTAATTGTATTGCTGCTGCATTTGTAGTGAATGCAATTTAATGATTATTTGATGAAAAGGTAACTGCACTACGATTCTTAGATAAATTAATTTTGTTTGCGTATTCACCCACGATTATTATCGGCATTTACCATCCATTTGACCATCCCGCTCCAATCTATGTCCACCTGGTGCTCTCGCTTCAGTCGCTCTGTAAAGCACGAGCTGTCGCTTTAAATTGTTGTTCTTATTTTTAACTGTCTTATGGCATTCGTAAAGAATTTCTATGTCTACTTATTTTGTTTTTAATATATTTGATTCTAGGGAATAATTCTGCTTAAAAGTGGATTGGAATTGGATCAAATAGATATATGTTTCTAAACTGTTTCCTGATTGTATTATACTGAAAATAGATTTTTCCGTTTTCAGCTGGTCCAGTACAATATTGAACATGTATATGTGTGTTTATTATGGTACAAATAACAATTGAACAGAAGGCGACTTGTTTAGAGACATTGTCCTTCGTGAAGGACACACCAGTGGGGCACCACAGCATCCGGATGGATGCCGCGTGCGATAAGTCGTTCCCGATAGCGATAGAATCGACGCTGAGCCAAATTGGCCGACGATTTGGGATTGGCCCATAGACGCTCGGCAGCCGCTCCCGCTCTCGGCCAGATGCGAGCCTCTACAAATAGACGACAGTTAAATGTGCTTGGGTGGATGTTAGACGCGGCTTTTTTGCACTTACCCAGAGAATTCTGATCCACATACTCGCTCCACATGCACACCTCGCCACCCAACACCTGGCGCTCCTGGCCCTGACGCAGATCAAGCGGCAGCGCATTGTCGTAAACCTTGCGCCAGTTGTAGTAACTGGTGCTGCCCCAGAAACCATGATCCAAATACCAGGCATCTTTGGTGGAGATCAGCAGGCGATAGCCGCGTTGCAACAAGTTCCGGTTGAGGGGGTCTTGAGCGTTGACCCAGGTCTGTATAATAAAACGCTCCTTGGGCAGCAGCTGTTCGATTGTCTCGGGATCGGTCAGGCGGCTGGACCACAGTATCACTGGCTTTGGCTCCCTGACACTGGGATACATGCGCTGATTTATGTTGTCCCACGCGTTCAAGTTGCGCTGATGGAACTGTGACCAGAGCCGCAAAAAGCTGGCCTCGCTCAGATCGTTGCCCCGCGCCTTCATTTGGTTGGTTATCTCCTCGGTTCTGTTCCAGCAGGGTATGTACACCTCATCGCCACCCATGTGTATGGTCTCTTCGGGTGCGCCCAGCTCGGCAACATCCTCGAGTATCTCCTTAAGCACCGCATACATGTGATCGTTGAGCGGATTCAGCTGACCACATGGCGGCTGGACGCAGTAGTTGCGCCAGGGCGCTTGATTAAGGCAGACGGACATGTTGCCCAGACCGGCCGCTGGGCCCCATTGCCAGCCATTGCCCGCATGCGAGGGTCCGTCGATCTCCAGCATAATTCGAATGCCACGCAGGCGGGCGTACTTCACCAGATTGACGGCATCGATGCGGGAGTAGGTCTGGGCATTCGAGTATGCCCCGTAGCGTTGCATTTCCGGCACTCGTGTGATTTCCAGCGGAAAACTGTGCGTATCCACCACATGCCAGTGCAGCACATTCATCTTGGAGGCAGCCATCGCATCCAGCGTGCTGCGCAAATAGCGCAAAGGCAGAAAGTTTCGTGCCGTGTCCAGCAGCAGGCCTCGATGTGGATAAACCGGCCGGTCATGCACCCGAGCAGCGCTCACCAATAGCAGGCCATTGGATAGACTGCCCGTCACCAGATTGCTGAGCGTTTCGAAGGCGAAGCGTGCTCCGTACACTGTCGTCGCCTTGATGTCCACAAAGCTGGCGGTGTCTGTGGTACGCACCACCATCATGTAGCTCTCGTCTGTGCTCCAGTCCAGCACCAAGCTGCTGTCGTTCACCGTCGCCTTCACCAGCACCTCCTTGCTGTTGCCCAGCGTGCAGTTGCGGGTGCACTCCTTGAGCAAGTTGCTCACAAACAAGCGATTCGTCTCGCGCAGAAACTGCGTTGTTACGGCATTGGGCGCCACCACATTGAAGCGCACCTTCCATGGATCAAAGTGCACGCGGTCGTGCGACAGGCTGCACTCGCCGGTGGGCATCGGCCAAATAGCTCCATATTTGCCGCAAGACAGGCGACAATCCCGCTGGCTCTCATATCGATGCGGTGGCTGTATGTTACCTAATCCCGGCATTAGTTCCTCCTCTGGGAGGCAAAGATCTGTTGAGTCGCAGAGCCATTTGCTGAAATGAATGCAATATTTAAAGTCAGAGTGCTCCAGTCGAGAGAGCTCGACTATCAGATACCCTGTACATTATATACATTTGAATTTCCCTTTATTCCCTGTATACATATATAAAAGAATGCATTCTTCTTCTTCTGTCAGGCCCATAAAACCAAGAGATTTTACAAATTTGATATCTCCCGCTTATGTTCGAGAACTCGCTCAGCTTGGGAGAGTCTTACTGGGGGAAATGTTTTTCATGCATTAAGTTTATTTAATATGCAAGCTTTAACCTTCAGTTTCGTAATTATGCCCTGCGCTATAAAATTCTATTAAAATTCGGCATACCATATATATGTTTAAGGGAAATTGAGTCATTTTAGAAACCAGCATACATATTCTAGTCAAGTCATTCGCTCTGGCACATTGATTTTAAGATTATGAAAAAAAATTTAGTTTGTAAAGATTTCAAAGATTACAAATCGTTCAGATAAGTAATGAAGTTTTTAAATTAGCAATTTAGCCAGATATGGTCGATTTGGAGTTGTTAACATTTCGTGAACTGATCAGTCACAGCCAACTTAACGTGCTCATTTAACAAACAGGGTCGTTCGGACTTTTACATTTTAGAAGAGAATGCATAAATGTAAATGGATCCTTGTTTTCAACACGGTGGCAGCTCTACAAATATCACACAAATATTTAAAAATAGCCTTTGTTTCGTTATAATATTTTTTGCTTAGGTTCTGTGTGTTTTAGGGGCTTGGGCAAACCTTGGGATGGTGCTTCTGCTTTCCTCGCTGCTGTCATCGGCGACTGCGACTGCTGCGCAGAGTAAAAGCGCCAGATAATAGCGTGTGTAACGGTTAAAAAGCATGTTGTGCGTTTCGCAACCGCTTATCGATAACTGCTGAAGTAAAAATCGAACCAAGACAGGATTAGGTTACGAAAAAAAAAGAGCCTAATGCAAATTCTGCGAATTAAACATGCAGCGCCAGCGACAACAAACCACACATGCAAATGGGCGCAACACAAAAACCGAACTGAAACTAAATTAAATGCTGAAAAGACTAGCTTATCGGCTGAGCTTATTTTTGTCCCAGTGGCGGCGCTGCCAGCGGACGCTGGCGTCGGCGTCGGCGTTCAAGCGTTGCGCTTGGCAATCGACAGAGCCAAAGAGCGAAATCATGTTGTTGTTGTTATTATTGCTGCTGTTGTTGTTGTAATTGTTACTGTTATGCTTTGCAGTTTAATGCGCAGAGGGGTATTTAGTGTTGGGGCGCGGAGGGGTGGCGTTGGCGTCTGAGCAACGCTTTTGCAGCTGCAGCTGTCCCGCTGTCAAATGTGGCATACACAAATGGGGGCGACCTGATAAAAAAAAAAAAAGAATGCCGGCGATCCACGAGCTGAATAAAAACGAAAACAAACCAAATTCTGTAAAAGCCCTTCAAATTCAGTCCGAAGTTCTCATGCTCTTTCTGCGGAGTCTGTTTGATGATTTTGTGACTATAAAAACTAATAAGAGTATCCCAGGTGAGAGTGCCCGACTAGAAGATAGCATGTAACCAGCTTTTCGAATCCGATAAATTAAATATTCTTCATCTCTTTCGATATATTTATAATATTTCAAATATGTCAAATTCGATGTGCGTGCCAAAACTCATGGCTAATTCGCGATGCCCGGTAAATGTATGTACATTCGAATTGGAAAGCAATAGCACAAAAAAATGTATTCCGATTCGCACAAAACCGATTCGCATGCCAAAAAGTCACTGGTAAAGTTGTCGATCCCCAAGTCAAAAGAGAAATTTAGCACTTTTATGCAAATCAGTAAATTGAGTAGCTGCCAAAGAAAAACAACCAAGTTTCGGTCGAAAGCTTCCGACCGCTGGATACGCTGTTTTTGCTCTAATACTAGCTCAAAATATCAGAAATCGAGGCGAGAGTTGATTTCGATAGCGAAATTCAAAGTGACAAAATTATATTGTTTCCCATCTTTTAAAAATAACACAAGTAGTTTTAGGTAAAGTTTTATAAATTACATTTAAAACAATTTGTGGATTCACGAAAGCTTGATCTAAATGAAGTTATAGCTGACAAATTGGGTATTGCTATATGTATTACCAGCGGGCATTACGCAGCTTTGCTTGGGTTACGAATTTTTCATTTGCATAGTTTTTCTTTCATTTTCCACAGTTGCGAGTGGAATTTTCCAAAATCCGGTCTTGGCGTGCACTTACAGATAAATCTCGTGGTCAATCATCAATCAGTCAATCAGTCAGTCAGTAAGGGCAAATAATTTTATATATACAGATTATATTATAGTACTACATTTAGTTGGGCTTGTTTTCTCAATGTTCTCACTGCTTTTAATAGGTCGATATAAATATCCAAATGGGGATTCACCTAAGAGAAAAGTACTTTTAATATCGCTTTAGTGATTATTCAGCGAACCTTTAGTTCTTTATTTGTGAGTTTTATGCATACCGCGTGATGTGCATTCAGTATGCATGGGGCAAGTATCTGACTTATCAAGGTTATATACATACATATATTCCAAGAGCTAGCGTGGCGAAATTTCATATGAGGCTCTTGCAATATATTTCAAATGTTATGTTTTGTTTTTTTTTTTTTCAAATTGATAAACGACGAACTGAATGAGAAATATTACTTCTACTGCATATATATATATATATATATATATATATATATATAAATATATGTATATATATATATTCATGCGAATCTTTGACAGATTTGCCCTAGTAAAAACTTGTGTGCGTAGTATCTTTTAGTCGACTGCTCTCCAATATATAATTCTTGCTTGTTTTTTTTTTTATTTTTACAAAATCATCCGCATATTTTACACCCTCTTCCATTATGCATATAAGTTTATTCGCACATACGAGCTCAACAAGAATAAGTCCAGAGTAAATTAAAAAGCACAAATCCATGAGCTGAAATCTGAACTCACGTGTGTGTGTGTGTTCAGCTGTGTGTGTGTGTGTGTGTGTGAGGGCATTGTTGATTATTATTTTTATTGTATTCGGCATTTACATCTGCACACACACACACACACACACACACACACACCTACACACACACACAGTCGCACCCATTCACACACATAGTTCATTTTTCATTATTATTTCTTTTTATTATTATATGTATTTCAATTTCATTTCAATTTCATGTGCGCTTTTGTGCGCTTTCAAATGAATTATGAGAAAGCGCCGCCTTGGCCCATTGTTGCCGCCCAGCTGTGTGTGTGTGTGTGTGTGTGTGTGTGTGTGCATGTGTGCGCCCGTCTGTGTGGGTGCTTAGTTAGTATGTAGTTATAATAATTAAAAAAAAAAAAAAAAACACGAGAAGAAATGCGCAGAGCTTAGCTGCAAGGGTCAGGCGGGCGTGGAATAGTTGGTGATGATACTGGATGCTGGAGAAAGAACAATTAGTACATATGAGCAGAGAGTTGGGAATCTTAAGTTAAGCACAAAACTAGAGATTGTTCTAATGTGAACTTAATGAATAAATAAAGAGAAAAAGTTTGCGCTTTAGAACAGCAAAGAACTATCTACTCGACGATACGTGCTGCTAAGGCATCAAAAATCAGAAAGATAAAAAATATAAAAATAAAAATAAGAAAAAATAAAGTTAAAAAAAGGCATCAAAAGTCATGAAGTAATTCAGGACAGATGCAGGACTTGTTCTTTATCAATTTTATTTAAAAGTATGATACAGCCCTACACGAGCCTGGAGCCCGAACCCGGACTGAAGAGCTATATATCTATATAGAAAGTTTCCAAGTGTTGCCATCAGACTAAGAGCCTGAATGAGAGATGAGTTAAAAGATCTCAAGAAGACATATGCTCGAGCTGAAAGACATGACTCTATGTTAATGCATAATGCATAATGTTGGGCCTTCAATCAGGTGCCAATTTGTTCGTGGCGTGACTCGTTCTCAGCCCAAGTGACCATCTCTAGGGACACACATGTGCGAGCCAAATGAGTTTCTCAACTGTTGCTGGACAAATGGCTGGGCGCAGGAGCCGGAGCAAAACTACTCACAGATCTGCGACTCCGGCTCTCCTGCAGCAGGACAATGCGAGTGCATCCCAACCCCACCCGTCGCCACTGATTATGATGTTGATTAAATTGTGACCGCGCCCCCCTCGTCAGTGCTGCCGCCCTGCTGCTGCTGCTTCTGCTGCTGGCCACGTCCGAAACATGTCCGTCCATCCGTCCATCCGTCCGGCTGTGAGTCCGTCAGTTTGTCAGTCAACGGCTGCTTAGAACAATGCGAGATTAAAAAGCTGTAACAAATTACAAGCAAAACGGCAAATAAATTACAAAATAAAAGCCAGCTGAAGAGAAAAAAAAGAGCAAAAAAAATACAAAAACAAAAACTGTGCACGGGGCGGGCGCTGAAGCGGGCACGAGACCGGACGTGGAGTTCAGCGGCCGGAAGGAATAGATGTGATTCCCCGATACATCCGACAATCGCAGCGCATGTGTGTGACGGGCCTTATGACAAAGTTAATTAGCAGCCGATATCCAAACTCAAGTTAAGACTTGATATAGAAATAATAATAGTATAATTAAATAATGATAATCAAATATATATCTAGTCGGAAGTGCCAGGTGATAAACTTCAACCTTCCTCTAACAAACCCAACTCAAAGTTGGTGACTCGACCCATTAAAAACAAGGAGCTTTAGTAAAAAAACAGGATTTCAATATCGATTTTTATCGATTGCTTAGAAACGGGCCAAGTTATCGATTAGGACGAGGACGTACGTTCCAAATTTCAAGTATCTAGCTCTTAGAGGACAGACGGAGGGACAGACAGACGGACAGACATGGCTAGATCGACTCGACTATAGATGCTGATCAAGAAATCTATATGTACTTGATGGGGTCGGAGATGCTTCCTTCTGCCTGTTGCATACAACTTTTATAAAATTTTTACCCATTTCCATTGGGGTTCAAGGCTTCAAGGCTCGCAGAAACGCACTTTCAGCCTGTTTATGAACTGGGTTTTTGGTATAAAAGCAGATCTAAGAATTTAGAATAAAAATATAAGAGATATTTTAAATATGAAAATAGATAATTCGACATAGAACATATATTAAGTTGAGACATGAAGGCTACAAGCGCAAAAAAAAGAAAATCGCTGGTTCAATTCACGGTTCAAACCAATGCCTCGCCTTTGGCTTCAGTTCGTGAGCCCGGTTTTGTGCATCTTTAAAGACAGGCTTTGTTTCATATAAAAAAATACTATTTTTGATTAAATCTAATTTGTTATATTAACCTATTTTGAATAAACAAAACTAAGTAATAAATGTCTCGTATTCGCTGTACTGAAACTGTCGTAAGCCAAAGACTTAGAATACGATTTTCAATTGCTTAAACAAAACTATTTTGAATTCGGGTTTGGGCTAAGGCTTGGGGATTGATTCATGGTTAATGCCGGGCTCAATTCCGATTCGGTTCTAATTCTATAATTCTACCCTCATATATTGTGAATGGAATAAAAGACTTGAACCATTGTTTTGATATAATTGATAAGAAATATCGCAGCTTATAATTTCATTATAGTTCTCCAATATATTGTTCTTCTGTATCTGTTAGTAAGATATAATTAATTGTTTATATCTTTTGATGGCATCTTTAGGATAAGCTAGTGCATTATGTGCTTAGCTTGCTTATTGATTGACAACTATTATTTTTTTTTTGTTTATTTATTTATTTATTGTTTTTGTTAGTTGATAAAATCAAAATTAACTCCTGTCGAATCGGTGAAGCGCGTGCTTTGGGCTTCCTTTTGAGCCGTGCCATGGTGCAGGTGGCACAATAAATGACAAAAGGGGCGGGGCGGGGGCGAAAGGGTGGATGGGTAGAAGGGTGCACGGGCTCGAGCTCGAGCTTGTGGCTATCAGTAGCCCGGCTCTCGCTGCTACAGCTGCGGCAACTGCGACTGCGACGGCGACGGCGACTGCGACTGCGACGTCGACTGCACATGTT